CCTATAATTTTTTGCTTCTAATTGACATCCTTTGTTTTTGAACACTGGTATTATGTTTCCAATAAGCCAGGCCTCCAGCAGAATACCCGTATCAAAAATAAGATTAAACAATTTAGAATATACATCAATCATACTGTCAAGAGAATTTGCAACATATTCATTGATTATTATATCTTCACCTGGCGATTTGTTGTTTTTCGCCTTTTTAATAGCTTTAATAATTTCGTCATGTGTAATTACACCATTCAGTGTCTATTTTTAAAACTAGAAATAAATTCATCACAATTAATTAAGTCGCAATCATCTAGTTTAGTTTCTGTAAGACAGATAATATCATGATTACACAATAGGGATTTAAATTCAGGGTAAAGTAATCTATTTTTAATACCACATACGTTTAAATATAGCAGGTTAATAATATTGTCAGTTTTATTTACAGTTAAATTCGAATCACAAAGGTGAAAGTCACAGGTATCGGTTGACTGGTCACTTCGTTCTGTATCTTTGCCTCCAGGGTTGTCCTAATATTGTTTTTGGAAACGTCTCCCGTTGTTATTTCTTTGAGTTGATTTGGGCGAGCGCCTTCTTCATCGTAGTTTCGTCTCGGTTGTTGTCTTGACACTCCAGAGTTTTGCTGATCGGTTTTCTCTGGTGGAAAAAATTCAACTCCATCTATGAAGAGGCGATCCCTCCTAAAGAAAGCCTTTTTACTCTGTCTTCGTGCTTCTTGGAAGAATGACCATAACGATTTTCGTCTGTCATTAATTTCTTTAGGAAACTGCTCACTAATGCCGAAACCAGTATCCCTGAACTCTCTTGCGGCTTTTCGAACAAACTCGCGTTCTTTAAAGTTTCTGAATCTACAGACAATTGGCATTGTTGCAAATTTAACTGAGCCATCTTTATTTCTCTCAATATATTCCTTCCCAAAACGACGAGCACGTTCGTATTCCGCGGGTCTGTTAAGTTTGAGTTGATCGACCATAAAGTTTCAATGATTTTTTCCGTTTGTTCCGTTTGTTCGTCTTTATCATGAAGCGGTATTCCAGTAAAAATCAGATTTTCCCGCATTGATCTTGTTTGGAGATCTATGTGCCGATCATATAAGTCATCTAGATCTTGTTGTAGTCGGAAGATTGTGTTATTAGTGGAATCTTTTTCGGATCGAATTTCATTAAAAGCACTTCTAACCTCTTTAACATCATTTTTATTATGTTCAAATTGTTCGTTTACAAAGTTCATGCTCTTTTCGACCTCATCGACTCTTTTGGATACATTTTCGACTGTTTTCACTAAGGTTTGGACAGTTTTATCAAACGAATTTAATTTTTTAGACAGGTCATCTATAACCGACATTTTGTCGCAAATTTCGATAACTTTCTGGGTAAGTATATCAAGTTTATTGTTTGCATCTATAGCAGGATTCATCATTGGTTGTAAATTGTGTGGGGTACTTGTGTAAAACCCAGCAGCTGGTAGTGTTGGCGAAAGTTGAGTGAAATTTGGATTTGGAATCGGCTGCTGCGAAGGAGCAAACTGTTGAAACTGTGAGTCTGTTTTGTTGGATCATGGGGGAATCATAAACTGGAACGTTCTTCTTTCTTCTTCTTTAAGTTTCTAGCGATCCTTCAATTATTGAAGATTATTCGCCGGGCGTCGACTATAAAATTTTATAATTTACATTGTAGCAAGAAAAATAAAAAGAAACAAAATCAAAAAATCAAAATAATGTATGTGCATTTGAAAAATTTCGTTTAGATAAAACTATATACATTTGATAACAAAATAGTTAGGGATAGAAAATGGGGATGAGAGCAGATTCTGAGATCATACTCTTGAATCCCTGTACTGTACTGCATGATACTATTTGTTGTGGCAAAAGATTCCAATCTATAACTGTTCGTGGATAAAATGAATATTTATAACTGTCTTTAGATGTTTGTATGTTACGTTAAACGTATCCATATTCACAGTTTTAATTTCATTACTAGCGGTTTTATTTTGACTTGCATTGTTTTTGTTTACATTCGATATAGGCGTGTGAGTAGATTTCAGTGTCTTTTTATTTGGTTTCCCATCACTTACATTTTGAACACTCATGTTTTTCCTTTTCTTTGAATTTTTGGCTTTCTTTTTTGGACTCATATAGAAATTTCACAGTTCCTTTCACATAAATCACTTAAATTGTTCAACTTGAATTCCGTTTTAGTCCATATTATTCCATTTTAACATAAATTTTCAAGAGCGAAAAAAAAGTCGACATTTCTTTTTTCACACATGCGCATTCTCTACTGTCAACTAAATTATCAAAATTGAAATAGAAATCTACGGTTTATCAAGCTGTTAATGTGTTTAACACTCCACGCCGATGCCGGAACGCTTTCACTGTATATTTGGCCAGCTCTCTAGGATAGTATGCCATCAAAATCTTTGGCCATATTTCGTAGTTCATTGCTAGAAAATATATTATTAAAAGTACTTTCTCTAAAGTTATTGTTTAAGGAGCGGTGGAGAATGAAGCGACACTCATCCTCCGTTGAGTTGCTGTTACAAAACTGACATAAGCGTTTATTTGGTTGCTCATCGTTATATCTTCCTGTCTCTAGCCTCAAAGGAAGAATTCCACATTTCAGTTGTGTTAGGAAAGACCATTCAGTTTTGTTCAAATTTGATTTAACATAAGTTTCTATTCCAAAATTAACCGTCATATAAGTTCTTAACTTTGGAGTTTTCAAAATGTCGATTTTCTATAAACAGTTATATAATATTCTTTCAAAATGGATTCGAACAAATTCATACAAATAACGTCCTTGCGCTATATCATAATGTCTGCTGCAGTGTACCCATTCCAGGAAGATTTGTATTGGTTATATAACTTCATTGAGAGTTTGTATGCATCTTATAACAAGGGGAAAGAGTACAAAGTTTTCTAGTAGGAATCAACTCTTGATTCACTGAGAAACAGAGAGAGGATACGACCAAATCAAACGTAATAACTAACATAGTACAATATTTGAAAAAAAAATTATGTAATTCTAAAAATGCATATATTTCTTTCTACAAGAAACCAGCTTTCGCAAATTATACAAATTAATGTTGAAAATACGTGACTGTTTTTAATTAAAATACATATGCAATTATTTGTTTATTTGTTTATTTTGAAATAATGAATAGAAAAAATTTACAAAGGGAAAAGAAAATAACCATGAAGCAATTTCGGACATTAAAACTATAAATTATAATATACACCAGGATGACATTATATGCAACTACATTTAATGGCATCTTGGTTTATCTTATGTACATCATGCTGCTACCATAAATTATTGAAAGCTACCATCTTACGTTAACAATAATATCAGTGTGTAAATTATATATATAGCTATTTAGAAAGTATCAGTAGAGGGATTTAGCTATAACTGGTATATACTATCAAATATTTAAAAAAATCTTTTGATATCAGGATATTCATTAGAAAAAATACACCACTGGTTCCTAAACAAATGCGAGATTTGTCGTGCCTGGGGCCGAAAAAGGCATATTTTAGAACCCAAATTGCAAAAACCGGAAATACTATTCTCAGCTACAATATCTATAGAGGAATTATGATATTTGAATTTGACTGGATTTCATTAAGTTTAGGAAAAGATTGGATCATAAAAAGTAGAAATCATAAAATAATCTTTCATTTGACCGTTTCCTGAAAATTCTTACACCTGTTTCACTAACAATCGGATATAAAAATGTGTATTATTTGGGACTGGTTGGGTGAAGTATTTCAAAGAGATGATGCACATAATATGTTTTGTCATTTTCTCTTGTTTCTTGTTCATGTAACAACAGCATCTTTTTGTTTGAAATATCCGCAAAGGTTCGCGGAAACCGGTGTCTTGCCTGCTATTGCTGGTGTCAGAGTCAAAGTGTAATGTTGACTTCCAAAATTTATCAGTATAAAATGGGAAAAAAATCAAATATTTCTTGATCATGGAGATCTTCTGTCTAAGTTTCATTATATTCAATGAAGGTTTGGCACAAGTTATGTATGTCTAAAAAGCTGTTAAGACAGACTGTATGTAAATGTTAACTGCAAAAAAAAACTAAATCCACTTATCTCTAAAATACAATAAGTCCAAACTTTGCTCGGATCTTTTGAATATGAAAACGCTTCAGTCCATGTTTCGTAAAATTCCATGAGGGTTTGACAAAGTTATTAAAGTTTTAACAAAACTTTAACCGCAGACTGAATCTAAATGTTTACATCAGCGACGTCGGATGTAAGATCGCTATTTTTCTCTTCCCTGACAAAATGGTGCAAGCTCGACAAAAATGAAAAAAAAAAACAAATAACGATTTCACACTACACTCCTTAAAATTCAATATAGTATTACAGATAGCAGTTCGGAAGTTTATAAAGAGATGAAATTTAAAGAAACTTAAGAAGGAAAACTATTCACATGGTAAGGTCTAGAAGCCGTATTCATTATGGCATTTATAGCGGGTGTGATTATGGTAATTAAAGAACAGGAAATGAAAATAACACTTTAGAAATTAGGTGCATCAGAAGCGTTTTTCTATATTTTATTTCACTTCATCAGAAACGTGCAGTACTTGTGTTGTTTTCCTAATAAAATCATCATCAGGAATTTGAACAATTATCGGTGTCTACAGGTGTCTCAACTCAATATAGACATGTTTTTGTGATATTAAGATATTAGAAAAGTTGTCGTCATATCTATATATAAATGAATAATAATGTGTATATCGATTGTGCCCTATTCCTTGACTTTTTGACTGAGTCTATGAATGGTGGAAAGTGCATTCATACCTGGAGACGGTAACCCTGTCGACACACCCGGTGTCGATCCGTTACGAGTTTCTGCGATGCCCGTGTTTTTCTTATTATCTTATAAAAATTATGAGATGTGTATAATTACAAATAAGACAATTACCCACCAAAATCTAATTTTAGTATATTGAAAATGGATATAAGAGACTTCAGCCTTGGTTAAGTAGTGTTGTCTCTTTATTTACTAACAACCAAGTAAGTTATCAACAAAATAAAACCACAAAACATCATTTCAAATACTAGCATACTCTGAATATAAGATTGAGGATAAGTATCCTTGAATGACTTCAAATTTTCAATAGAGGCAGTCTAGGTTCAGAGTTCAACACAACAATACAGTGTCATTGCAAAATTTTGGAAGACAAGTTTAACGCTTTAGTGTTTTGAATAACTTCAACATAAATAAAACTGTTTAAAGTTTTGAATCTCCACTCATCAATGGTCTGAGATGTGTGTAATAGGTACTGTGGACCTGTAATAGAAAAAAATCAAATAATAAACTGGTCTAAAATCTAGGTATTTTTTTTTAAATCCATAGCCTGTGTGACGCCATCATAATTTCAAATCTACATCCAAATATTTTAAATTTATATCACTTACATTTTTCTGACTTTATGCTGTTGCAGTCTGAAAATGTATAAATGATTTTGGTATTCAAGTGAAAGTATTTTCCAAATATATATATATAATTTGGAAAATACTTTCACATATATATATGTCTCTGCAATAACGTTACAATTTTTTTTTATAAAGATTGTATAAACAATTGAAACGAGGTTGATAACGAATGACTTATCGCAAACCTCTTTAATACGTTACCAATATGGATATCTTTCGTTCATAAACAATATAATTTATTGGACTTTTAACTTCTTTCCTGTTCTCAACCGAAAAAAAAAACTATCACATGACCATACAAAGCCCAAAACAATGACTTTAAAACGAAATCATAGATAGTATCAGATATTAATCTCCATTTATGATTTCCAATTATTAAGTATTCACTGCTTCATGTGCATAAACGCTCGTCTGGCGTACACAATAAATTGACGAGTTTTTACTTGAAATAAACTCATATGAATTTAAGACTAAACATTTTAGCAAATATTGTTTTTTTCAATTACGCTATTCTGTTATCTTTCTGTTCAACTTCTGTAAAACATCAACTCGACAATTATCGATTGATCACATAGTATCGTTACAATTCAATGAGGTTTAAAATAGTATTTTGTGTTTCAATACTCATATTTCATCCGAAGTACGAATCTTTGAAATTTTTGCCATTATCATAAAGAGATTGACAGAACTGATAGAATGATTTTAAAAGAACCTGTCACAGAAATTATGTCGTATTTAAGTTTTCAAACGTTGACTAAATTACCTCTGTTTGATTCATAGGCGCCATTTTTGCATAATCATACAAGGCTTGGTAGACTTGACCATCATAACGGCCTAAACAGCTTTCTAACTTATGGTCTGGGAAATCGAAAGCATCTACGAGCGCCACTGCATTAGGCCTCATCAACTCAAATAAGGTCAGCATCTTCTTCTGTAAATAATCTACATGATGTCCTGTTAGGAAGTTGTCCTACACAAATAAAATAAAATTTCGTGAAAAATGTATTATCTGTTTTTGGTATGTTTTCACATTCAATAATCATATTATAACAATTATTATCTTCGTTTTATCATACTTTCTAAATATTCCAATATTATATGAACTAATTGAGACTGACACCGCCGTTTAGAACCATTCAGTAGTCACTGTACTTCTCAACATACGTTTAACTACCTTGTATAGTCAAATCGTGAACGCTTTTCAATGATGTAATTTTTAAATTTTGAACTTGAATTATATCGATTTTAACGTCATTCGAAGTGAATTTTTGCAGACGTTTTAGTTTTATCTAGCTCTGCTCCTAAATTTCCTGACACTGTTAACACTGTCTCCTAAAAGTTCCAGTCGTCTCTTCAATTAGATTATTGATTGCGACAGTCTTTGCTAGCAAACATTGAGGTAAAGATAAAAAAGAAAGAAGATTCCAACGAAAAACCATTACTCGAAGACAGATAAACAACAATGGACGAAAGGAATTAAAACGAACAGACAAACAACATCTAACTGAACAATAACTAAATAATGAGCAATACGAACACCACAAAAAAAAAACCGATCGTGAACTTATGTGCTCCTGAAATTCGTTTATGTCATACACGAGGAACGAAAAACGGCTGCAACAAGTAGATTATACGTCATCTTTGGTTCCTTACAAGCAGCAACTCTTTATCAAAGAATAACGAAAGGAAACACAAGCTCTGGCATATTAAATTGATCGAGAGATATTTATTTCATATGCAGGTGATTTTGTCTTGCCATGAATTAGTGATAACTCTTCCGTATCAACTCTGTACACCCCGGTTTTTGAAAGTGTTAGTGTTGAAAATGTTTAGTTTTCTGCTTATATTATGTTTGACTGTTACTGTTTTTTGTTTCTTTTGGTCATGGTGAAATCTTTGTTTCTTCGACTTGACTTTTAATTGCCCCTTTGGTCCTTTTTAGTATTCTAAAGTCGTGTAACGTCTTCGCGTTAATATCTGGGACGCTAGTTATCAAACTTGACCAGTGTTTTTTTAGTTTTAACCAATAAATAAAAGAGACACAAATGATTTTAAGCAACTACAATTATCTTGAAACTTTTAAATTATTTTTCTTCCCCAATTTTAATCCTAAACGACAACAGCCATCATTGTAAAAATCGAATTTAGTCTGTCTTTTTTTACCAAGAAGAAATAATGCTGAAGTAGAAAGAAGATGTCAAAGAAACATGTCAATTCATTCTTAAACATTTTGTTTCAGATGGAAGGACGAATCAAGGAATATGTTCATCTTGTTTTTGATTAAAGCATAACAATATATAGGAAAAAGAAGTGCAACTTTTTGATATCTTATTTTTTTATATAATGATTTAACTGTACCTGCATAAATTCGCCTAAATTTTCTATGATTCCATGGACACCATATAGCTGACAAACTTCATTCAAAACCTTTGATGTATTACTATCTACTTTACAGTCTCTAATGCTATCTATAAAGTTCTCGACACAAAACAAGTGACAATGAGCCTGAAAAGAAAATGTGTCATTTGTCATAAATGTATTTATATTTTGAGCTATGAAATATAACACAAAAGTACTTGAATGAAAGGGATAATGAATATGTATCAATCAGATATTGGGGAAAATTGTATCGGAACAGACAAAACCCATCATTAGACAATGGAATAAACTTGTAAAAATGGTTATAAATTATATTGATTTTCTTTGAAGAAAAGCAAAACAGGGGATGATTATCACAAAGGAGCTTCATTCTAATTCTTATTTGTTTTTAATAATCCATTATTCAATTTTTAGTAAAGAGAACAGCTATTTCAGCAGTATTTTCAATAACCGCGCAATGTTTCAAAATAAGCATTACAATATTTCTAATGATGTCAAGTTGACGATTCTTAATAGGGCTTGTGTAAAGGGAAATATAAATGAAAGCGACAGTAGTTAACCGATGTTCCTTTCATAGTATATTTATTTAAAACATCTACACAAAAAATATCTTACATTTGCAGCCAAAAAGAGTTGTACCGAACTTTTGTTCCAGGCTACGTGTGCAGGACTACCTGCCTGAATAAACGACTGCATTTGTTTCGCAGCCTCTTCAATTAATCTACAAAATATATGTTCATCTCTGTATTGTTCCTATAATTATCAAAATAAGACTTTTGCATTTAAAGTCTGGCATTTAAAAAATCTAAAACCTTCAACATTACCTTTAAACATAATTAAAAAGTCGTTCACATTACAATGAAACCTTTATAAAAAGTCGTTCACATTACAATGAAACCTTTATAAAAAGTCGTTCACATAACATAGAAACTTTTATAATGAAGTCGTTCACATAACTTAGAAACCTTTATAATGAAGTCGTTCCCATTACACTGAAACCTTTATAAAAAGTCGTTCACATAACATAGAAACTTTTATAATGAAGTCGTTCACATAACATAGAAACCTTTTTAATGAAGAAGTTCACCTAAAAGACAAGGTCCTATGTAGTTAACGATGCTAATCTTTACTAAAAAGTAGTATAACCGAAGGCACATGGACATACGTTAGTTCTCTAGATTTTTACTAAATATAAGTAATGATTCGAAGTCACAGAGTACTACATACTTAACGTTGACTTGTAGTACTGTTGATTTTTACTAAATATAAATAATAATCCGAAGTCTAAGAGTCCAACGTAAGTATATAACGTATTTTTTTCGTAATTATAGAGTAGTATTCCGACGTCATGTTGGTTTCGCTATAAAGTAACCCTTTACTACATATAAAGTAGGGCTCAGAAGTAATAGAGGGCCAATACATTACTAGTGACATATGTCGTGTTGCTCATGGTAAAATAAATATCGATTATAAGTTACATTGGATGATGTCACAATTGTGGAAATGAAAAGTAAAACAGAAACGTATCCGTGGTCATATGTGACACAGATATTCCACAACGGTCATCCAAATCATAATGGCGTCCATACAAATTTTGAAGGGATGACTACTACTTTACACTTAGGAACCCTTGGTTCAATAGCCTTATTCCTTTAATAGGACAGGTTATCAACTGGGTGTCAATTACTCCATATTTATGTGCTGCTGGAATATGTCATACAATTTTATTATAGAAAGAAACTATATAGAACTGGAATACGAAAAATACCTGTACCGAGTCGGAAATATATGACAGTTGTTTTCCAGTCGTTCCAATGATTGTTATGATCGATCAATAACTACACAAATATTTGCCTTATATACTTTACCTTGCCGCTCGGTGTTTATAAGCCTTGATTAAGCAAGTGAATGATACATCGGCGCCCATAAGTGATTTCTTTTCCATAGACTCGCCAATATAACTGACAAATCCAGGGAGTGATTTCCCCTGTTGTTTCTCTCTGTAACACTTCATTAGATACCTACAATATAATGCCATTTGCTTTAAATGCTTGATCAGTGTAATTGCACAATATGGGATCCCTGACACAGTTAATCACCACGTGTTTTGCTCAGTTGATACGAAAACTCATCCAAGAAACCAGGCTTATTATGTTGTACGCTATACTCTCGTTTCGTCTACTTACGACTCATTAGTGACGCTCGAATCAAAACAGTTGGAAGGACAAATCAAAAACGAAAGTTGAAGAACATTAAACACCGAAAATTCTAAATAGTTGTGCAATCTATATATGGGAGAAGAAAAACCTTAGTGTCAACATTTTGAGAACAGTTAATTTTTACAGAAAAATGAACAAATCACTTATATTTCAAGTCTTATCAAAAATCAATAATACAAATGAGGCTTTGTGTGGACCGAATCTAGAGTTGTACCCTAGGCTGAAACAGCGGTTATTTTGAACACCGTTACAGTTGGTGCTCCAATTAAAAATAAACACGGGTTTTATTATTCAATTTGGTATCGTCCCTATCTAATGATTGTTTTGTTTTGGTTTTAGAGGAGTACTTCGCCAGATAAGTTGGCGGTCATATGGTAACTGTGCCAGTGGTTTATTTTCGGTTGGTGGAGAACACATTTAGGAAGGAAACGTGCTCTTGTTTCGTATGCACGTACGACAACTGTAGTTTATTAAAAAAGAAATTAAAAATTTCAATATTTTTTGCTATAAATTAAAAACATATTTTCTTCCTCGATGGCAATGCTGGCCAAGTAGTCGGCACTTTTGGAATCTTTGATGAATTTATTTTCAGGTTCTATCAAAGTTTACTAATGAAATGATAATCACATCCTCTTAAGGATTATGTACCCTTTTGTTGTTTCAATGGTAAACATGGAATTTTTTATAAACTTTATACAAAGTTTATAAGATATCTTATAAAAACTAGATTATATAAGATATCTTATAAAAACTAGATTATATAAGATATCTTATAAAAACTAGATTATATAAGATATCTTATAAAAACTAGATTATATAAGATATCTTATATGTTATATGAAATATCTTGAAGTTAGAATAAATAGTAAAACGGCTTGTCATAGTTTAATATACAAAAAAAAAGAGAGACACAAGGTACTAAGTGGACAATCATAATTCATTATTCGATGAAAAACACTACATAGAAACTTAAACCTAATCAAAAACCGGGGGTTATCTCAGGTGCTGTGGAAGGTAAGATAATCTTGCTGTACATGTATATGTGGAGCCTGTCGTGGTAAATACAAACTTGGTGGTAAGTCCCATTCTGTGCTTTTACAATCACGGAAAAGTTGGCGGGATTGTGGTTACGACATTTAGAACATGTCCTTGACAATATGGGAAATAGATATTCCACACAGTGAAACCAATTATGATTGATTCCGTACAACTTTCGAAGATATGTTCTCAATAGTTTCCTTGTAAACAGCAACCCTTTACCAAGAAAATCATGAAAGGAAACACAAGCTCTGGAATATAATACCAACAACTGCAGGTGCTGATGGTAAGTTGATACATAGAAAAGGAAAATAAAACTTTATAAACTTCGAACGTCCAAAGCGCTTTCCTAGATTTACATTTATCAAAAACGCTCATATCTTAACATTTGAAAGCCAGGGAGATAAAAAATTGTATAGTCTTTAGGAGCTAAATGACCAAAAGGCCTCAAAAAAGAATAGCCAAATTCATTTAAGGTCAAATTTGCCCGAGGGAGTTGCAACCTTAGTTTCTTAATAATTCCTCAAATATAACTGGAAATTTTGAAATTGTCTGTTATAAATCATGCTAGTCTTGAAGCACTGACTATTGAGCTGATGATGACAGTCCACAAACAGTGGTATCAACCCATTGCTGACTGTAATACATATGTTAGACTCCGATCGACGTCCGTTCCTCAAATCGACGTCCTATCTAAAGTCACGTTCTCAAATCAGTATCCAATACTTTTACCCTCTAATCGACGTCCAATGTGACGTCATGTATTTCCAAAAATGATGTCATATATATCATTTAATTATTTGTTTTGAGTTTGATCTTTTCTATAGTATCTTTATCGTTTTGTCTTTGTGTAAAGTTGCTTAAAGAAACTAGTTGTTTTACATATCTTTATATACTTTACAAATCATAAAGACTTAGATGACGTATATAAGAAGGAACAATAAAGTAGGCAACATCCCGTCCAAAATAATCAACTTAATAAACATAAAGGAGAAGCATTAGTAAATGACAATAGGACAAACACCGACATCATATTACATGTACATGCATATTAATATATTGGTAAAAAAAAGTTAATCGACTCAATCTACGTTGTTTTATTCCTTTCATTTTCATATAAATACATAGCATGTGGATATAATACAATGAGACAGAAACCCAAATATAAAGATAACAACAATAGTTGGAAAAAGGAAGTAAAGTCAATTGTTGAAAAGTATTATCATTTGGACTCTGCAAGATCTTTTTAACAACTTTTTGAGTTTTGAGGTTTAACCAACCATTTGTATTCGGAAAATGCCTTTATCAAATCAGGAATATGACAGTTGTTTTCTTTAAATAAAGTTGTGACATCATTGTGACAAGTCCGTAAAAAGGAAGTCGATTAGAGAAGCCAAATATTGGACGTCGATTTCAGAACGACAAAAAGATGTCGATTAGAGGGTCATATAATTGGCAGTTGATTTGGAATCTTCTTTCATTATGATGTCTGATTTGGACGTCGATTTGAGGAAAGGACGTCGATTAGAGACCAGACGTCGATATGAGTCTTACATATATAAAGGCAACAGTAGTATACCGCTGTTCCATATTCATAAATCGATTAAGCGAAAACAAATCCGGGTCACAAACCAAAACCGAGGGAAACACATCAACTATAAGAGGAAAACAATGGAACAACAGAAACAATGAACTGCAACAAAAACAAACGCCAACATACATAGAAACGGACTATTTGATAACAACTGTTGTATTCCTGACTTTGTACAAGACATTTTAAAAAATAGTTGTTGGTTGAACCTGGTTTTATGGCTAGCCAAACCTCCCTCTTATATGGCAATGTTAAAAATACCAATAAAATGACAACATTACGTGACAGGAATACAGTACAAATAAACGCAAGAACACTCAGAACAGAGAAATACATAAATAAATAATATAATAGTACTTTACAACATATATCACCCTAGATATACACGCATTACGAATATCGTATCTCCGTACATTTATATCATTATGTTCAGATATTCGGTTCATGACCGTTAAATGCCCGAGGGAGTAGCAAAAATTACCCGCCAATATCAAATTCAACTCGTTGATAACCTAGATACAATGTTATCCCCCGTCAATATCAAGTTTGGTCTCCAGATCATAAAAAATTTAAAAAGATTAATCTCCAGATCATAAAAAAACTACTATTGTATTTGGGTTCAGCTGTACTAGCTACTGCGTTTTACCCCTACTTACTCACTATCAGACATTGGAAGACTTTTCCCGAAATATTTTTTTTACTCTATGCCATAAAAGAGCATTTTAATTATCAAAGCACATTCTTACAGAATGTATAATAATAAACAATATGTACTTGAAGAAAACATGATAATTCATATTTAGCGTATTCATTAGCCTTCTGGTTGCATATTAAAGTAAATTAAATAAAATCAATCTAAATAATTCTATCAATTTTTAAATTTAAAACTAAATTCCTTAAAACTTAACCTTGCCACCTGCAACATCAATACTGTATTCTCCCCTTCATATGTGCAACCGGGCACCGCGGAAACATAGATTTTTGGAAGTCCACTAGCATGTGAGTATCCATGACCACCGCAGCATATTCGGCATACCTCAATTCCTGCAGATGATGCATACGTTGTGAAAGCTTTAAGTCCCGCTGCTAATGCATGTAACTGAAAATAAGTTAGTCTATAAATTTATGTAATGTCCCATTCTGAAGACAAAATGGAACATGAATGTTCGACAACGGCAACAACGAAAAGTAATAGTAAGTATTCGGCCTTTTACGATTATTAGCACTGAGTTTTACATTAAGTAGAAAAAAGGAGAGAAGGAAATAACAAGGGAAACATCATGTAGGAAACCTAACTCTAGTTGGTTTTGTTTTCTAGGTTGTCAAGGACATTACAAAGTATGTGCTTGATAATAATTCGAGTCAGTATAGATACCTGTGGTAGTTGATCAAGACGTCCACCCTCAATTTGTTGGCTAATCCTTTCGTATGTTTCTGTCATGTTAGTCGAGGCAAAATGAAAAGCATACGCTGTAGACAACAAGGGAAGCAACCTGTACTGTTGTGTCTGATAATCTAAAATCTGTGGTTCTATACCCCTAAAATCATAATGGTAAATACAATAAAATCCGTAGTTCCACCCTTTAAAAATATAAATAATTTTGATTTGTAGAGGGAAAACTTTAATGAGTCTGAAGGAAAAAAGTAATTTCAATTACAGTATATATATATAATAGCCTTTCAAGACCGTCGTAATCATGATAATTATTTAGACTAGTATTGTGAAAATAATTGTGAATTTTTACATCTCGTTCCATATAAATGTATGAATTTCAAGATAACCTTTGATTATATATAGGTCACAAAAATACGTCACTTTTTGTGGCGTTGGTCCATTCATGTGACGCACAGTTTGTGGTGTCATGTGTTGTCGTTAATTCATGGAAGATTCCGTTTCTGTGGTTTACATGTTGTAATGTACTATTATATTATTTATTTATGTTTTTCTCTGTGCTGAGTGTTCTTGCGATTGTTTGTACTGTATTCCTGTCTCCTAGTGTCGTCTTTTTAGCGGTATTTTTTAACATTGCCATATAAGCGGGAGGTTTGGCTAGCCATTTCTTAAAATGTCCTGAACAAAGTCAGGAATATGGCAGTTGTTATCAAATAGTCCGTTTATATGTATGTTGGCGTTTGTTTTTGTTGCACTTCAGTGTTTCTGTTGTTCCGTTGTTTCCTCTTATAGTTGATGTGTTTCCCTCGGTTTTAGTTTGTAACCCGGATTTGTTTTCTTTTAATCGATTTATGACTTTTGAACAGCGGTATACTATTGTTGCCTTTACAGTATATTTGATTTGAAATATTTCTTTACAATATTCGTTGAAATAAATTAATCTTATGATTATGCTTCTAAAAAAGATGATATATTGATACCATAAAAAGATGATATACTGATACCTAATAAAAAGATGATACACAGACTGCCATTGGCTTGTAAGACGTTGGATAACAATGAGATTAGATAAGTGTTAACGTTTATACAAACTTCATACCTATTACAAATAAAACTTTACAAATTACTGAATTGCAATATAAAATTATGTATACTTAGAATAGAACAAATAAATAAAGACGAAAGACGAGTGATTAGAATAAGAAGAGTACCAAAGCTATCGTAAATAAGGGAAATCATGGAAAATCAGCAGAAGAATACATGGGCGAGACAACCAAAAGCAAATATAGACAACCTTATTATAATAACCAAACATCACTGAAACTTTAAGATTTGGCAATACAAACTTCCTGGGTTTAAACGAGTAATCGCATACTATTCTCTTCATTATTAGTCAAAAGGTGTGCCAGTATGGGGTATGGTTAGATAATTATGTCTCAAATCATATCGGACAATCAATAATGGCAACAAAACCATAACTGCTGACATCAGCCTAGTCTGTATAGCTCTGGGAGAGCAATTGTTTTGCCTAGAAATGTATTTATTGTTTTTAACACAAGACTTTGTAAAATGGATAACAAAAGAATGTATACGACATATGTAGGTGAATAAGATTTAATATATACTTAGTAAATCATCATTTAAAATTGATTTCAAAATGTATTTCACCAGCTATGAACAATGCATTCCTTAACCGAATGGCGACTTCGACGAGCTCGTTCCATTTTGCTAGTTATGATCCAAAACTTGAAGTACCTGACCAAACAAAACTGCATCCAATCATTCAACAGCAAATGCAGGAAAACGTTTAAAAAAAAAAAATACATTTCTAACTGTGAATCAAAAACAAATATACTTACCCCGGTTTTAATTCAGATTGTCTTCTGACAGCACTGTATCGAATAGATATGGTACAAGCCTCAGCCAGTAACACAGCGGCATTTCTAACAATAAATGATCTGACAAGTACCATGACGCCATAAGTTACTTTAGGATTTTCAGGTCTAATATAGGTACCATCCTCTAAGACCTGAAAAATGACAATAGTCATTTTTTTTTATAAGACTTAATTTATTTGGTTGGATTTTTATATTTATATCATATGCAGGCATGGTTTGATAATTCGTTACTAGTATTTAAAAGTATCAACTTATAGATGTCGTATCACCTGGTCTAGAATTTGATATGCGTCAGAGAGCAACACTTTTAATGTGATAACTGATTTCCACAAATTGATAAAGCTAAGGCAAACTAAATTCTCCCAGAAGATATAAGATAAAACAAACACTTTTTTAAAATGGGATACCTTTTATTAAGAATGCTGCTAAGATTGATTTTTATGAACTGGAAAATCTGAAAAAGTGTAAAAATGTTCCCACGAAGTGAGATTCACATGTTCAGTAGTCAGCACTTCGGTGTTGACATGAATATCAATTATATGGTCATTTTTATAAATTTCCTGTTACAAAACTTTGAATTTATCTCAGGAATAGATTACCTTAGCCGTATTTGGCACAACTTTTTGGAATTTTAGGTCCTCAATGCTCTTCAACTTTGTACTTGTTTGGCTTTATAACTATTTTGATCTGAGCGTCACTGATGAGTCTTATGTAGACGAAACGCGCATCTGGCGTATTAAATTATAATCCTGGTACCTTTGATAACTATATTCAGTAATTACAAGCATTGTGCGTCGTTTGAAGGATACGAGAGGAAACTGTAGGACGCGAATATTATGCAAAATAATTACTCTCATTTTGGTGTTATCTAATTTAGTACTTAATTTTGGTATTATATAGGTCTGTTCACTCCGTAAAATATTCACTATATGCCTTCGGAATAAATAAATATTGTCAAATTTGTCAAATAAAGACCGGGTACCAGTCTAGGTATTGTACGATATATAGTACTTACTTTAGAGTATCGCATCAGCATATTATCACGTGGAATCCTGACACTGTTCAGTTTTAGATATCCATTGTCGTTTGTTCCAAATCCAAACTTGTTACCTATCACACCTGTCTCAATCCCTACAGTATTATTAGTAGTTAATTGAATAACATATGTGTCAGATGTGTTATTTTGTATAAAAAGGACGCCTATTACGTGTTGAAAATGAACCCCCGGTTTTTGGTGGGAATCGTGTTGCTCAGTCTTTAGTTTTCTATGTTCTGTTATGTAGACTGTCGTTTGTCTTTTGGGCGTTTTCCGTTTTTGCCATGGTATTGTCAGTTTGTTTTCGACTTATGAGTTTGACTATTCATTTGGTATCTTCCGTTTCTCTTTCACAACTATGATTTTTTTTTGGCAAATGTTTGAGAAATTGAAAAATATGAAATGGACGTCAAAAACCATAACGTATTTAAAATCTGTCAGATAACATTTTTCGGACGTTCACAAGACAATTGTCTCACTGCTCACATTTAAGATGGCACATATTGTGGAATGCGCTCGGTAAAAAATACAATTTCACAATGTACGGAAAATAATAATTTGCTTAAACGATGCATTTCTTCTTTTCCCACTAGCAAACACTGGATATTTCCATAAATACCGAGATAATGTGAGCAACAGCACAACCAAAAAAAAAATAATAAAAAAGGTTGGCGCAAGATAATTTAATTTTCTAAAACATTTTGATGTTAATAAAATAAGTATCTATCGTTTGAAGTAAGGCGAATCCTGACAGTTACTTATTTGATGGTTTCCAATTTTACTCGAACATTGACTCCCATCTTAACTCTATCTGAAACTCGATCACTTACTAATTCGATGGTATGCCATACTCTTCATTTAAACGAACAAGATTATCAATTTGATCAAATTTTAAGTGATGTCATTAAAAAAGAAAATTATTTGGGAACAAAGACATGCACCCTAAGTTTTAACAATTCCAGCAGCATTGAGTTATTTCATTCCATGCAATCCCAGCTGATCTGTTACAGCGATTCATAATTATTACTCAACTCAAAATTAAAAAAAAAATCCAAACTAGAGTAAGGCGATATACCAGTATGCTTGTTTTTTTGTTTTTTTTTAAATACAAACCAGTATTCTCAAGTCTGCCTTAATGCAAGGTGTACCCGACTAAAAAAGAGGCAATATGCATCACATATATATGTTAGCTCAATAATTTGAGCTTTTATCAAAGATTTATTCTTATAGATTGTAAATACATATCCCTTTACCAGGAAGCAGGCTGTGGTCTTCTAAACTCCTCAGCTGTAGCATGAATATATGAATACCATGACATTTTCCTTGTGTGTATAACTGGGCAACCACTACACAATGATTTGCTGTTTTTCCTACTGAAGAAAAAAAACTATTTATGGTTATTAAGTTATTAACGCAATTTTTTATATGTACTTTTAGATGTTAATTTCCGAATATGTGATAGGACTAAAGCGATTAGTGTTCAACATCAAAGCATTATAGGAAAGTTTGTATACTAAATGTTGTAGTTTAATGAATAAAAGAAGATGTGGGGTAAACGTCAATGAGACAGCAACACAACTACATAACAGATTTAAAAAATAATTAACATGCGGTCTTTTACAATAGACAAGCATCTATCTCTTATTTCGCTCGGAGTCTCAAAATGTTATAAATCGATGTTAAATAAACTCACCATAGATACGATGGACTATCAAAATCTACCACAAACACCAAATACCCGTAAGGACAAAAACATTTAGATATTAATAAAATCATTCACTGACGAGCTTACTAACTTGGGACGGCTACATGAACATGTGACTTGGCTTAACTATGTTTGGGGTTTAACCCTCCCCCCTTTTTTATCCATCAGTAGAATAACAAAAAATACACAGAAGAACGTACAAAAAGCACTCCGTTATTTTGTTTTACCCCATTTTTATTGTACACAATGTCTTTGTATGTATTTTTTATATCACATTCTCTTCTGTACTCCTTATGTCGTTATACTTACATCCAGCTGGCCAGAATTTAGTTGCAGACAAAGATGGAGTATTTAGTACGAACTCTTTAGTCTTTGGATCATATGTCGCTGTTGTCTCCAGTCCTCTCAAGAACGTACCTTTAAAATATTGGAACTTGCATCAATAATGAATGTACACTTCAGTTGTCTCTTACATACAATTAATGTTAACTGATATGTTGTCTACCAACCATACATAACTTTCGCGAGTGGAAAAGTAACACAAATAAAAATCAATAAATCAAAATTTGTTATGCTTTCATATAAACAAACTAGAGGCTCTAAAGAGCCTGTGTCGCTCACCTTGGTCTATGTGCATATTAAACAAAGGACACAGATGGATTCATGACCAAATTGTGTTTTGGTGATGGTGATGTGTTTGTAGATCTTACTTTACTGAACATTCTTGCTCCTTACTACTAGTATTATCTCTATCTATAATGAACTTGGCCCGGTAGTTACAGTAGAAAATATTTTGTAAAAATTTACAAAAATTTACAAAATTTATGAAAATTGTAAAAAAATGACTATAAAGGGCAATAACTCCTTAAGGGGTCAACTGACAATTTTGGTCATGTTGACTTATTTGTAGATCTAACTTTGCTGTACATTATTGCTGTTTACAGTTTATCTCTATCTATAATAATATTCAAAATAATAACCAAAAGCTGCAAAATTTTCTTAAAATTACAAATTCAGGGGCAGCAACCCAACAACGTGTTGCCTGGTTGGTCTGAAAATTTCAGGGCAGATAGATCTTGACCTAATGAACAATTTTATCCTCATCAGATTTGCTCTAAATGCTTTGGTTTCAGAGAAATGAGCCAAAAACTGCATTTTACCCTATGTACTATTTTTTAGCCATGTCAGCCATCTTGGTTCGCGGGCGGGGTCATTGGACACATTTTTTAAACTAGATACCTAAATGAAGATTGTGGACAAGTTTGGTTAAATTTGTCTTAGTAGTTTCAGAGGAGAAGATTTTTGTAAAAGATTACAAATATTTACGAAAAATGGTTAAAAATTGACTATAAAGGGCAATAACTCCTTAAGGGGTCAACTGACCATTTTGATCGAGTTGACTTATTTGTAGATCTTACTTTGCTGAACATTATTGCTGTTTACAGTTTATCTCTATCTATAATAATATTCAAGATAATAACCAAAAACGGCAAAATTTCCTTAAAATTACCAATTCAGGGGCAGCAACCCAACAACGGGTTGTCCGATTCATCTGAATATTTCAGGGCAGATAGATCTTGACCTGATAAACAATTTTACCCGTGTCAGATTTGCTCTAAATGCTTTGGTTTCAGAGATATAAGCCCAAATCGACATTTTACCCCTATGTTCTATTTTAAGCCATGGCGGCCATCTTGGTTGGTTGGCCGGGTCACCGGACACATTTTTTAAACTAGATACCCCAATGATGATTGTGGCCAAGTTTGGTTAAATTTGGCCTTGTAGTTTCAGAGGAGAAGATTTTTGTAAAAGTTAACGGACGACGACGACGGACGACGACGGACGACGGACGCCAAGTGATGAGAAAAGCTCACTTGGCCCTTTGGGCCAGGTGAGCTAAAAATGAAGAAATCACGAAATACCCAAAAAAAAAATCGCCTTGAAATCGGTAGACAAGGGCCACTCAAAGTATCCACGAAAGAAGACCTATTAGTTTAGATGTTCATAAAATTCTTATGTATATATATTCCTATATCATAACTATCCCTTTTTGTAAAATTACAAATCAATCTATTAGAAAATATATAGAAAATATTTTTGTTGTCTTAAGTAATTTAAAATTTACAAAGTTAAGCTTTAAACATATGGAAAAATATAGGCATGTGAAAATAAAGACGTTAATAATGTGTCTGAAAAATTAATTTGACTCATAAGTGCAACAAGTTAAAATCACTCCTGGATCATAACACCTCAAATGTATTCAACTGACCATGTCCTATTTCAGTTTGTGCATATGTTCCAATAATTTTTTCCTGATATGCTAAAGGTAACCATTTTGCTTTTTGTTCTTCTGTTCCCTGTTGTTCTAAAGAGGGGATAAACATAGACGTGTTGATGGCTATGGGATCTGCCTCGTGTGGAAAAGCGCTCCTGTAAATATAAAATAACCGTAAGTATGGGTTTACGTCTGTAAAATAATTGCGAGTTTTTGAGACTTACAGTTAGTGAAATGCTAATCCCCGTGGCACCATCCGCTTAGTAGCCAGTGTATTGGTAATGACATGATTTAAATTATCTACAAACTATAAGGCTTTAACTCTCTCAGGCAAAATTAACCTTTTGTTCTTTTCAGTTTCATGCATGTGTTTTCTAAACATTTGGTCTCGAGCGAGCGAATCGTCATAACGGACATCCATAGCTTTTTCAAGAGACACGTGTCATGGGCAACGAACTATTTCGTGTTGCTCAGTTTATCGGTTTCTATGTTGTGTTTAGTATTGTAGACTGTTGTTTGTCTATTCATCGTTTTTATGCCCCACCTAGGGGCATTATGTTTTTCGGTCTGTGCGTCCGTCCGTTCGTTCGTCCGTCCGTCCGTCTGTCCCGCTTCAGGTTAAAGTTTTTGGTCAAGGTAGGTTTTGATGAAGTTGAAGTCAAATCAACTTGAAACTTAGTACACATGTTCCCTATGATATGATCTTTCTAATTTTAATGCCAAATCAGAGTTTTGATCCCAATATCATGGTCCACTAAACATAGAAAATGATAGTGCCCGCTTCAGGTTAAAGTTTTTGGTCAAGGTAGTTTTTGATGAAGTTGAAGTTCAATCAACTTGAAACTTAGTATACATGTTCCCTATGATATGATCTTCCTAATTTTAATGCCAAATTAGAGTTTTGACCCCAATTTCACGGTCCACTGAATATAGAAAATGTTAGTGCGAGTGGTGCATCCGTGTACTATGGACACGTTCTTGTTTTATTTGTTTTTTTCCTGTCTCTCTTAGACTTATGAGGTTTGAAACTTTTTTGGTATCTTCCGCCTCTTTCTTTATAAAACATTTACGTTACGAAGACACATTTAAATACCAGTTGATACGATATTCCAGAGCTTGTATTTCTTATCATGATTTCCTTGATAGAGGATTGCTGCTCACAAGGAAGCTATTAAACCAAGATTTCCAAGTTGAAATCATCCCTTCGTAAATTTTACGGACGCCATTACGAGTTGGTTGACCGTAATGGAATATCTGTTTTACAGATGACGACAGATATGTTTCAATCGTCGTAATTATAATACCGTCCCTTTTTCCCCGAATGTGACCTACCGAATTAGAATTATCACCAGGTTTGTACTTACATGAGCAACACGACGGGTGCCACGTGTGGAGCAGGATCTGCTAACCCTTCCGGAGCACCTGAGATCACCCCCAGTTTTTGGTTGGGTTCGTGTTGCTCAGTCTCTGGTTTTCTATGTTGTGTTTTGTGTACTGTTGTTTGTCTGTTTGTCTTTTTCCTTTTTTGTCATGGCGTTGTCAGTTTATTTTTGACTTATGAGTTTGAATGTCCCTTTGGAATATTTTGCCTCTCTTTTAAAAGAACTTGACAACAAAAATATTGCCTAAAAGAGAACATTTCATAAAAAAAAACATAAAAGGAAAAGCATAATGGAAATAGAAGAAATATAATGACAAATAAGCTTGGGATAAGCTACTATTTCAAGAATAAGTATATGTCTACCTATCATATACAAGAAAAGAAACCGTTTATAAATTCGACAACTCCATTATTTCCAAAAATGGAACAGTATACAAAAAACTTATAAAGAAAGAGAAAATGGAAAACTAGTAGAATATATATCCGATAAATAATCTTGGGCTAATCTGCTATTTTAAAAATAGGCTATTGGGTTACTGATATACAAAAGTACTCTCACCCTTTATATGTTATCAGATCATTTCTGTCTTTTATTCCATGCTTTTCAATCTGTTCTTTAGCATGTATGTGTTTTATTAGGGCGTTTTCATATTGCTCCTCTATACTACAATACGACCAAGGTTTAAGCTGTCTATAAAACGGATCTTCACATACAAGGTTTTCTATAAAAATAAAATAAGAAAAATAAGCAATGTAGGTTTCATTTCACATATTGAAAGATAGGTTACATGGGGATTCTCACAGTATCTATGGAGGCTTTAAAGTTATCTGCCATGACTTAATGGGTCGTACCGAAATGTGCCTTGTTGTTGTGTAAATAGTAGAACTCAAACAGAAATGGCTAAATCAGGATTACGGCATTGTATGGTCAAAAACACATGATGACAAAATCAAATATACCAAGTATGAAAGGCCCATAGGCGGATCCAGGGAGGGGGGGCTGGAGGGCCCGGGCCCCCCCCCTTTCGTGGGAAAAATTTGGTTGATTATATAGGAAATCACTGAAACATGACTGGAGCGGGCCCCCCTTAGGTCAGTCAGCGCCCCCCCCCCCCCCCCCCCCCCTTATGAAAAGTTATGGATCCGCCACTGATTTAAGCTTTCTGGTATAATGGCCTAAGTCCCTAAGCATACAATGATTTCCAATTTCATGTAAAAGGCCTTTGTCAATCTGAATCTAAAAATGTATAATTTATCGGAACTTTTTTGCTTTATAAGGTAAATACATTAATTAGGGCCTGCAATTGCAAAAACAGTAAAATCATGCCAGACTTTCTAAATCAAGTTAATTCAATTGATAAATGATAAATGATCAGGATAATATAATCTAAACACTGTAGTGTAACAGGCCGCTTATGGTGTCAACATGGCGTCATAAAAATGTGGAAATTGACATATTTGACCAAAAATCCCATTTTACACATAGTTTTTGGACAAAATAGATATGAGTAACAGCCTAACCCAAACATATATTTTACATACATTAGATCTAACGTCTTTGTGAAAAGCAATTTGTAGCAAAACACATTTTTGGGTAAAGCTGTTGCTCATATATTAAGGGCATACGATACAGTTTTGATCCCATATTGATTTTTTTACGAAAATTTGCTTACAAGCTCTTTTTCAGCCAGTCAATTCAAATATGTAATAAAAAATATACCTTCATGTGCTTATTTTTTCGGAGATAAATGGGGGTCAAAATTTTAGACATTTACCAAAAATCTTTTTTTTTTTATATTTTTATCCTTTGGATAGACATGTCTTACTCTTTTGTTTCAAAAGATAAACACACGCGGTTTTTTGTAAAAACATCTAGAAAGTCTTCTTTACATAAGTATGCTCTAATTTTGGATAAAAATTCTTTGGAAATAATTAATTTTTATCAAAGTTCCAAGGGTTTAGGAAAAAAACGGCATTTTTTGCTGTCTATTTATCTAATTTTAAAAATTTCATTATTGACTTTTTCATAAAAATTGGTACAAATAATCTTCATACGTAATCAAACCTAATGTCATTTAAAAAAAAAAGGGGTCCATGAACTCGTTTTCAAGTTAAATCAGTCTGAATGATAAAAATCAGTCGAAAAATGCATCTTTTCCCGGTATGTCGCAGTTTGACGTCGCGAAAATAACATTTTACGTTAGCAACGTCATTGCCTCCCCTGTAACTGTATCGTATGCCCTTAATAATATAGGTGACGTTTCAATTATTACTTAAATTTCATGTTATTGTGGTAGAGCTATATTTTATGTTTTACATTAATTAAGGTTTTATGTTATTAGAATATATACTTGATATATTCTATTTACATTTATTATAATTTGTAGTCTGCTAGTTTATTCAGGTAGAACATTACCTATTGATTAATTTCTTTTCTATTGGCCAGTATGATTTAGGCGGGAATCTTTTGTTTAACTTTTCTTTGTTTTGGACAGTTGGCTAAAGTCTTTATATGAAGTGGTAGCCATTTTCTTCAGCTCATTTGGAAGTTGTTATATCTTTACTTTTGAAATAGTCTAGGACTATCATATTCTTATATAAGGTCAGTTTATTACTAATATATTCATTACAATAACATTCCAGTTTTAATATCCAAGCGTGAGTGATATATAAGTGTATACTTGAATGAGTAGGTGACAGTATTATGAAAGGTGTATGATAGTAAATGATTAAATATCTAATATATGTGTAAACTATTCATGATAACACATAAAGTAATAAAGATAAACTTGATAATATAGTTTTATTTGTAAGATTTAGTAAAATATATGAAATCTGCATAAAACTGATAAAAGTATGATTAATACTTAAATTTCTAGTAACAGTAATATAAAATCTATTTTAACAGTTTGTATGAGTGAGCGTTAAAAGATTTTATACTTCTATAAAGTTAATACAAGTAAATATTTGATTAAACAGATTTAAGGGGAGATAATTCTGTTTATTTTAATCTAGCAGTATTGCATAAGGTTTTTATAATTTTAATATTTTGTCTTCAGGTATTACATACATTATTAAAAAAGGTAAACATTTTGTTTATCACTATTTACGCCGTGTGTTACTTCAAATAGTTCTCCGGTCAATTAAAGATTATTTATTATCACCATTGTCAAAGTGACCTTTATCAATGGGAAATCTAGAGAACGAAAACAAAAGAAAATTCACTCTTCTTATGATAGAGTCTAGAAAGTCAATAATAAAATAATGCCGGTGACGATACTGATCAAAAGTTATTTCTAAATAATAATTGTACATTTTAAAGAAACTATTTGTTAAACTGTGTTATTAGAAATATACATGCAAAAACACGATGTTTTATGTTCAGTATTTATCGAGATAATTGCATTAGAAGCTTGTGAAACAGAAATCTAAAAAATGCTATTCTTTGCTGCATATTGATTTTTAAAAAATTGATAAAGTCCTGTATATACAAAATCCGAAGATCTTTCGCGTCACCAATTTTCGGAGTGTTCCACAAAGTAGTTAGCATGTTACAATTTCCCAAAGTATACTTATTTTTTCACACCTAAGTTATCGAGAACACCGGTCTGCTCTTGTCACATATACATTCAATAGAGAAATATTGTCTTTTCGTGAATATAACAATTTAAAAGTCTGCCACGGTCTGTGCAGGTTAAAAAATTAAAGATAACTATTCTTATAAGGTAGGTATCTTTCTACTATTTTTGATACAATCTTAAGAAAATGTCGTCTCGATTTATGTACATGTATAAGCGTTCTTCTCGATCTATTCACATTTATTTAGGGGCCAGCTGAAGCCCGCCTCCGGGTGCGGGATTTTCTCGATGAATTAAAGACCCATTGGTGGCCTTCGGCTGTTTTCTGCACTTTGGTCGGGTTGTTGTCTCTTTGACATATTCCCAATTTCCATTCTCAATTTTACATTCAATGTTTACATCGAGATAAGGTCCGCTCGAATTTGCTTAGTAACTTAATTTACTAATCTTCGCTGCATATCAATCGATTCCTTTAGAATTTTTTCTTGTATTTTTATGGTATGGCAGCCTTAGTAGGATATCCCTGTAGGGACGATAAGCTGTATAAATATACGAACTACACGGACAATAACAGTAAGGGTACGACTATTTGATATTCTGCGGAGGGGGAGGGGGCAGAAGGATTTATTATTCATTTGAATCTGTCGCTAATCATGCCTATTTTTCAGCTCTTACTTGGCCACCATATTCATATTTAAAATCCTCTTGTCCACCACCCCACCCCCCAAAAAAAAAATATCAAATGGTTTTCCCCTTATTTAACACAAGTTTAAATTGATTGATTGTTGGTTGCTTATTTTTAACGTCCAGTGACAAATATTTCATGCATGTTCAGGAAAATACGAGTTTAAAAGTCAGGTGTATAATATGAAAATAAAGAGATGTAGTATGATTGCCAATGAGGCAACTATCCACCCAAGTTCAAATGAAGTGGATGTTAGCAATTATAGGCAACCGTACGGCCTTCAACAATGACAAAAACCCATACCATATAGTCGGCTATAAAAGGACCCGACATGAAAAATGTGAAATAATTCAAACAAAACAACAAAAAAACTAACGGCCTAATTATATATAACAAAACAATTTACAAAAAATCAAATATGAGTCGACAGACAACCACTGAACTACAGGCTCCTGACTTGGGACAGGCACATAAAGAATATGGCAGGGTTAAACATGTTTGTGAGCGCTCAACCCTCCCCTCAACTGGGACAGTGGTGTAACAGTACAACATAAGAAGATCTAAGAACAAGCTGTAAAATCAGTTGCATTTAGATTAACCCAAAAGATCGGCATATCTGAAAACTGGCTGCTAGCGGAGTGGCTGCTGGCGAGTGGCTGCTAGCTTGAGCCTAGCGCACGAGACACAAAAAACAACTAACTCTAAGACAATAGACACAAAACACCGAAATAAGAGTATTTGCAGTTACTGAAAGTTTGTTCAAAGCTATTTATTAGTAACACTAAAATAAATCTTGTTCTCCCAGACTGAAGTATCAATCAGTACACAACCAACGGATTTAGTCATAAACAGTCTGAGAAACGCCGTAGAAACTTGAAATAAATTGAAGTTGGTACTCCAGGAATTTATTCGCATAGCAACATTTTAAACAAATTTTACATTAAGCTTCTATAGCCTACTGTACTTGTCGTTTGCTACTTAAGGAGGGAAATGCTAACATTAAATAAAATTTTGTTTTTATTTCAATTTATTTCTATTTTTACATTTACCAGAAATTTTTCCGTGAATCCATAATTGATTTGCCGTTCTGCACTAGTCAATACAATATATATGCAGATGTAAGAATTTGATATCAATTTCCCCAGATAAACGTTCTACATTTTAAACTTACTTCTGATATTTTTAGTAAATATACATACCAATATAACGCTTCCTTTTTAGCTTAGCTGGCCCTCCATGTAGTAGAACTGATAAATTTTCTACATTAAATGTTGCCTTCTGTCTCTCCTTGGCTAAATCTGAGTTGATGCTTCCCTGTGACATATTTAGATTTGTAACGTCCGCAGCGCAAACTCACTAAGTAGAAGTCGCAAGACGAAATTTGTATTTATATACATAAGATAGCCTGATAAAAATAGAAGTTAAACAAATGACATAAAACATTAAACGTTCTACATTGTCAACTGTCAAATTCACACAATCTAACAAAGATAAAGGTCGAACAAAAAATAATGTCGTTGAACACATACTCTTTCTCTCTACTAATACATCCATAGTTTGAAATTTAAAGATGTCGTTTGCTGGTTGAAATTTATAAAGGTCTGAACACAGTTAGTGGGGGGGGGGGGGGGGGGAGTTTTGTACGGACTTAAGAAGGCGAAGTAAAGGAATGACGAAATCTTTACAGTGACCAAGGAATCATGAGACTGCATTCAAGGTCAAATGAATCCTGTCAGAGGATCATGTACACCATACAATTAATTTATACACCACATATAGTTGACCTATTACTTATAGTAATCTAAAAACTGAACTAATACTGAAAACTTAATGTTGAACACCTAACCAAGAAAATAAGACAAAGGTAGGATGATTCTATCAGATAGACATGTGCACCTTTCAATCATTATATACGCCTTATATACTCCAAATAAAACCCACCTTTTACTTGTAGTATCTGACTTACTGAACCATGGAAATGAGGAAATCAGCAGATGACCCTGTCAGATGTACTGAATATGGTGGACATATTACTCAAAAAACTGAAAAATCATGTTATAACAAACCGAAGCAGTTTTATCTTTAGTCATTTAACCATGCAACTCAATGTGAAAGACAAAAGACGGAAACTTCAGACCATAAGTAGACAAGATAAGGACTATCCAGCTCTTCTACTTTTAAAAAGTTTTTTTATACAAAAAGCTAATGTTGTCGCCAAATTAGGATCCATATGTCAAGTTAATCCTATGAAGACAGGAACTTCAGACCATTATAATCCATCTGTATAACTTTATGAAATCAAAAGCTTAAAACACAAATTTTGTGAAGCTGCTGCCACAGGGTATATAAGCATTATTATGTCTCCTATTCTAATACATCTATAGCTGGCGAGACAAAAACGAAGTCCAAATAATAATTTCTAATTATTTAAAGTTATTTAACTGGCAACATCAAATTATTTTTTTTATCAAAATGTAATTTTAAGAACATTTTCATATAATTCATGTGCGTTGTAAAGAAATTTGCATCTTTTTTAAGAATATTTGCTCTATCATACTTTAGTAAATAAAACAATTCAGTTAAATATTCTTAAGATTTTCTTTTAGTTCAACATCTTGAAATTTGATCATCTTCCTTCATGAACATCCTCCGGTAGTGTTCTTAGTTCCATTGATATCTGTCGTGATTTAGGAGTTGTTCTGACAAGGGAAATGGAGAATCAGACTGACAGGCAAGTACATTTGATTATCTTCCATTCAACATGTTGGACCGGGATAATATTCATTCAGGTAGTCTTCCATCAATATTTGTCCAGCTGTTTAGGAGAAGTTGTGCTGACATGGCACATCAACGAACAAACGGATAGACAAGTAAGAAATTTTGATTTTCCCTTTTAGCATGTTGGACCAGGATTATATCTATTCATCTACATCCTCAGGTAGTGCTCCATCAATATTTGTCCAGCTGTTTAGGAGTTGTGCTGACATGGCACATCAACAAACAAACGGACAGACAAGTAAGAAAATTTTATTATCCCTTTTAGCATGTTGGACCAGGATTATATCTATTCATCTGCATCCTCGGGTAGTGCTCCATCAATATTTGTCCAGCTGTTTAGGAGGAGTTGTGCTGACATGGCACATCAACAGACAGACGGACAGACAAGTGTTGGACCAGGATTATATTTATTCATCTGCATCCTCGGGTAGTGCTCCATCAATATTTGTCCAGCTGTTTAGGGGGAGTTGTGCTGACATGGCACATCAACAGACAAACGGACAGACAAGTGTTGGACCAGGATTATATTTATTCATCTGCATCCTCAGGTAGTGCTCCATCAATATTTGTCCAGCTGTTTAGGGGGAGTTGTGCTGACATGGCACATCAACAGACAAACGGACAGACAAGTGTTGGACCAGGATTATATTTATTCATCTGCATCCTCGGGTAGTGCTCCATCAATATTTGTCCAGCTGTTTAAGGGGAGTTGAACTGACATGGCACATCAACAGACAAACGGACAGACAAGTGTTGGACCAGGATTATATTTATTCATCTGCATCCTCGGATAGTGTTCCATCAATATTTGTCCAGCTGTTTAGGGGGAGTTGTGCTGACATGGCACATCAACAGACAAACGGACAGACAAGTGTTGGACCAGGATTATATTTATTCATCTGCATCCTCAGGTAGTGCTCCATCAATATTTGTCCAGCTGTTTAGGGGGAGTTGTGCTGACATGGCACATCAACAGACAAACGGACAGACAAGTGTTGGACCAGGATTATATTTATTCATCTGCATCCTCGGATAGTGTTCCATCAATATTTATCCAGCTGTTTAGGAGGAGTTGTGCTGACATGGCACATCAACAGACAAACGGACAGACAAGTGTTGGACCAGGATTATATTTATTCATATACATCCTCAGGTAGTGTTCCATCAATATTTGTCCAGCTGTATAGAAGGATTTTGCATGATCTCCTGTTTTCTTATATCCAATTTTTTGTCCAATTTTCCTTTTTTGTAAAAGAGTAGTTTTAAGGCAGTTTGGCAGTCATCAAATATATTCTTGAAGAAGATCACAAAAAAGCAAGAATAAAAACCAAACTTTTTGCTAGATCTATTTTTAGCAGAAATGGGAATGTTGGTTTAAGAACAGGTCCATTGGACACAACTTTTAAGTAAACCACTAAGGATGATGCATGCCAAGTTTGTTCCAAATCAGCCCTTTGGTTTCAGAGAAGAGTTTGAGAAATTTTATATCAAGAACTGATGCAAAATGAAGACAATTATTAGCTCAAACTGGCCTTTTGGGGCAGCTGAAATAAAACAGTATTTTGTGAATGACACATCTAAAATACTGTTTTTCTAAATGACATTAGCTGTACTGTCAAATTCAAACATTCTTGTTGACATCATTCGTAAATATAGCTCAACATGCAGACTTCTTATACGTTCAGGTATTTCACATCCAATTTTTTATGGAAATATTCTTTATAAAGCACAAAAATGTCAGTATTCACCTCTGAAGCTAACAAAACCTTTAAATAGACTTATTAAGAAGAGATATAGTTACGATACTGTTGTCAGGTCATTAAAGATTGCATATTTTGGCGTTAATATTGATTCACTTATAGGGTCTTTGCATCGGCACTAAACACATTTATTTAAAAACCAGTTGTTGGCATGACACGGGTTATGTTCTTCTCATATATGTTATGATGGTATGATACTAAACCCCTAACGGGAAGGATTGTGCCTGATATTCATATGATGAAGACATAATCTTTCAATCAGTTTAATTAAAGTCTGGAGCTGGCATGTCAGTTAACTGCTAGTAGTCTGTTGTTATTTATGTATTATTGTCATTTTGTTTATTTTCTTTGGTTACATCTTCTGACATCAGACTCGGGCTTCTCTTGAACTGAATTTTAATGTGCGTATTGTTATGCGTTTACTTTTCTACATTGGCTAGAGGTATAGGGGGAGGGTTGAGATCTCATAAACATGTTTAACCCCGCCGCATTTTTGCGCCTGTCCCAAGTCAGGAGCCTCTAGCCTTTGTTAGTCTTGTATTATTTTTAATTTTAGTTTCTTGTGTACAATTTGGAGTTTAGTATGGCGTTCATTATCACTGAACTAGTATATATATTTGTTTAGGGGCCAGCTGAAGGACGCCTCCGGGTGCGGGAATTTCTCGTTGCGTTGAAGACCTGTTGGCGACCTTCTGTTGTTGTCTGTTTTATGGTCGGGTTGTTGTCTCTTTGACACATTCCCCATTTCCATTCTCAATTTTATTTAATCAATAATTAAGTAAAATGTTCATAAGGATCAAATAAAGCAATCCTGACTGAAAAATACTCTGAATTGTCAAATTTTAAAGGTCTCATACCTACGTAATATCAATGTCATTAAAATTGAAACTGACCATATCTTATGTATCACAAACATTGGGTATAACTTTTTGAAAAAAATTAAATTATCAGGAAAAATTCTCGGAGTTTTGAATATCTAATAATCAACTGTCAACTGTTTTATGAGTATGATATTCTTATAGTAACTTTATCAATTATTTTCTATAAAATTTCAGAATCATGTTTATCAATTAAAGATATGACGAATATTGGTTTTTTCAAAATAATTTCCGGTTTGAATACAATATATATATATATATCTTATATATTTGCCAGTCACTAATTAGTCTTTGTAAAATAGTAATGAAAAGTGTAAAGTTAAACGAAAACAGTATTATCAAAGAGCTGAAAGCTCTAAGTAAAAATGACGCCATGTCTCTCATATTGGGATATTTTTGATGCAAGTCTTGATTTTTGCTTAATTTACCTACTGAATCTTAGGCGACATTTCAGTTTATGGTAGGTAGGGTGACTGATAGAATAGATATGAATTGTTTCCACAATCTATAGCGTTTTTATTTGTTTGTCAAGATATATATATATGTGTGTGTGAAGTTAAAATAACTACTAGTTGTTCTGCTGTACAAAGAAATAGCTCAAGACTACCTGAACAATCTACAATATTCAAAGAAATATGTGAATTTGTTTCCCTTATTTGTAGAATTATTTAACAAAATGATTATGAAGAGCCTGTAGTAAGAAAGCTCTTATACCCAACATAGTCCTTATTCAAGAGATAAGTTACAGGTGACCTAGTGACATAATCACATTTTTATTTCAGTTACATAAACATGATCAATTTCTGTAGGTTTAGACAATAGTATTGTTATACTAGTTTCACAATTACAAACAAAGTGACACCATTTATACAACTTAATTTCATTGTGAAGATCCTGTAGTAAGCAAGCTTACACTGAAATCTTAAAATGACAACATAAATTATTGCAAAATTATTTTTTTTCAAATGATTTAATGTCTAGTACCGTAGTCATTTATTTCAAATAATTGACCCGTAATAAAATAAGGAGATGGGGTGTGATTGCCAATGAGATAACAGTCTGATGTACTATCTACCAGAGGCCAAATAATGTGGCTGTTGGCAGTTATAAGGCACTTTCAGACCTCAACAATGTACCAAACCGGTTTATTGTTTTCAGGTACCACAGGAAAAAGAGGAGTTGTGGCCAGGTGCTGCCAGGATTTAAAACTATTAGAATTACACAGTTTTGTCTGCATTCAGAGAAAATTTCATGGTGTAAACACAGCCATTTTTGTTGGTGTATATTAGATGAACCTTAAAGGTGGATTATCAGATTATTGGTCACAGGAATATTAAAGTGATTGTTGACTTTTCAAATATAAAAATATGCACAAAGAAGGAAATATATCTGATTCCTTGTGAAAATTAAAAGATAGAACATTGTACTTTAATTGATTTGGTAATTTAATTTCAAGAATGACAACATGTATGATCTGTTACCATAAGTGTAAAATTTGTCCATTAGCTATTATTTATTATGTTTATGGTAGTACTGCATCTTTGAACTTTGTCAATCAGTCATGATTTACTTCTTAAGCTGTGTAAGAACCTTCTTGTAATTGAAAATTGGTCTGCCATGATCACGATTTCTACAATATTCTGAGTTCCTTATAAGTTCAAAATTTAGCACATTTGCAGTTTACAAATACAATATAAGATCAGGAGAAACAACGATTTTGATTGGCTCCCTTGGGAAAAGTTTGAGTAAAGTTCGAAATTAGGAACAGTAGAATTTAACAAAATCGTGGTTTAGAGGTTTTTACACGATCACAATCGTGCAATCGTGACAAGGGGTCAAAATCGAGTATTTCACGCCTGAATCGTGCAAGTTGGCAGGTATGACAGGTTAAGAAATTAAAGAATGAAAATTACAAATTTAATTCTGTTCCAGTTGTATTTCCAACAATATGATTGAAAATTGTCCGACGGTCACGAAGGTTAATGAACGCCACAATGTCACAACAAGACATATTGAAGGGAGACAACACCATCTTTTATTTTAAAATGTACATTTGCCACGCTGGAGTTGTCTTTCTTTTACCAATGTATGAGCATACTAACATTCACTTTAAGTATGTAAAATACGGAACCGAGTTCGGAATGCGGGTTGGAAGTCTGGTCAATGGTAAAAGAAAATTGAATGCGTCATTTTCTAAAAACTGAGAACCTTTATTCAACAAACAAAATTTTAAAATCAATTTGCTGTCAAAATCTGCCAAAATATCAAAATTAAGCATGTGTACAGTATTGTAAATAAATGCAGCACCTATGTTTTGGTAACACTGTCATCTTGAAATACATGTATGCATATGGGGGAGGCTCTTCTTCATGAAATTCCTGCAGGTATTTTCTTAAATAGAACCCCAATTGACTGGGACAGAATCAATTTATTTTTCCATTTGTTGTATCTGGTGTAAATTTACAGGCGAGGATCCAAGATTTTTGAAAGGGGGACATAAATCTAGAAAATTGAATATAAACTACTGGGCGGAGCTAGGTGAAATGTTTTTGGACTAAACTAAGCTAGATGTGTCAGAATGACACAAATGGCCCTGCTCTCAAAAAAAGCGTAAAGTCACTTTTAAGAGTTGAAATTTGAAAATGAAAGTCTGTATAACTGTTCTTTTCACTAAATTTTCAAAGTCCAAAGCCAGTAACTTTGGCACAAATCAGTGCAGCAGAACCTGACGTTAACTTAATATCTGCAACTCATCATAGTAGACACACATACTAAAAATCAGCTCACTTTGTGAAGATATTTAAAAAATCAAAGCACCATCGGTGCTGTGATCCAGCAATTTTTTAGTTACAGGTAATCAGCCATTTTTTTTTTATTTCATTTTCAATATTTTTTTCTTTACACAAGCTTCTGTAAGACATTTATATAGAGACAAACATCACAACTTTTGGTAAGTGATTTTAGCCCAAAATGCTAACTTGTGTTTAAACACTTTTAACAGAAAAGAAACTAAGGGACTGAAAAAAATACAACAGACAACACAAGGATTGAAATATAGAACGTCATCATTTTCATTATTATTTCACTAAAAAATTACCAGTTATTTTTCCATTTTAAAATCACCCATTTCAGATCATGAAATTCTCAGCAAAACAGTGTACTTCTTCTAACTTGAAGGTACTTCTGATAATCAAAGTAATCAAAATTACTGATGGAAAGACTGGAAGAGTTGTGTGGATAATTTAAAATCATATTCTCAGATATTGTGGTGAACAAAAAAGACTTGATATATCATTAAATTCAGAAAGATAATTGTTTTTTTTTTTAAGTTGATAAAACCAGCTTGTCTCCCTTAATGTACTTGTAAATGGTTGCTTTTGGGAGTATTTCTATTTTTAAACATAAGAGTAATGCATATTTGTTTAATGTTAATAAGCAAATTAAATTAACCTAAATTATCTACTAATATCAGATGATTATAACACTGATTTTACAAGTAAATTAGACTTAGCTTCCATTTTTATGCCCCCACCTAGGAGCATTATGTTTTTCAGTCTGTGCGTCAGTTCGTCTGTCTGTCCGGCTTCAGGTTAAAGTTTTTGGTCAAGGTAGTTTTTGATGAAGTTGAAGTCAAATCAACTTGAAACTTAATACACAAGTCATGTTCCCTATGATATGATCTTTCTAATTTTGATGCCAAATTAGAGTTTTGACCCCAATTTCAAGGTCCACTGAACATAGAAAATGATAGTGCATGCGCTTCAGGTTAAGGTTTTTGGTCAAGGTAGTTTTTGATGAAGTTGAAGTCCAATCAACATGAAACTTCTTAATACACATGTTCCCTATGATATGATCTTTCTAATTTTAATGCTAAATTAGAGTTTTGACCCCAATTTCATGATCAACTGAACATAGAAAATGATAGTGCGTGTGGGGCATCTGTGTACTATGGTCACATTCTTGTTTATACATATTTTAATTTTGTCTTTTCTTTGCAAATAAATGCATCTTTTTAATCCTTAAGCATTCATCTTTGAGACATAATTTACAGATAAATTTTATGTGGTGTAAATCAAGAGTGATTATAGGTATACAATTGAGGTCAATAATTGACAATACATTGTGTATTAAGATATAAATCGAGCTGTATAAGTGTCTATTCAATTATGTAATACAAGAAATACTTACTGTGGTCAATTAAGATTGGCATTGATGTGGAGATAATTCTGATTACTACCCCTACCTCTTTCACATTAATTTCTAAATAGTAATTTATTCTAAATTTTGATTAACAGAGGAACTATAAGCAAGTGTAAATTTAAAATAAAGTGGCTGTTAGACCAATATTTTCTTAATTTGAGGGCAAATAACATGTCAAAAGTTGACAGAAGATGATTAAAATGGTGTATAAAGTTTCTGCAAATCGTAAAAACAAATAATAAGTTTCATGATATGTCTTCAATTTAGAATTCAGCACCATCTCAAAATCCAGAGTGATCACATATATCCAACATGGCTGAATCAAAAATGTCTGTATAACTGATATTTTCACAAAATTTTCAAAGTCTAAAGCCCTTAATTTCAGCAAAATCAATGGTGCTGAACCAAACATAAGTCATACATATGTAACTCATCATATAAGACTCACATACTAAAAATCAGCTCAATATGTGAAGGCGTTTAGAAAATAAGTCTGTATAACTGTTTGTTGTGGAATGACAAAATGACAGATAAGGGTAAAACTATTTGGCCCTGACAACTTTGTTGAGGGGCCATAAAAATGAAAATTTTTCCTATCAAAGGGATTGACCCTCTACGACCTTCCCTGAATCTGCCAGATTTTTTAAATGCTTGGTGGAAAATGAAATATGACTTTAGGATATGAAAAGAAAAAGGTTGGAATATCAAGATAATGCTTTGTTTTTATTGACACATAAAATAACTAACACATTTGCATTTCATTTACAATACCAAAAACAGTAAAAGGAATTTCAGACATAAACAATTTATATACACATACAAAAATATATACACAATACACAAACAATTAACTACTGCATCTTTTTAAGCACTTTTGACAAATTGTATTGCAATTTCCTCCTTTTCTGTAAGCTGCGTCTCATTTTATATGAAATTGATATGTTTCATGTGACTCAATTAGCTACAAATATTTCAAATACACATGCAGAAATGTAATGATGATAACATATGATATATTAACTAGTGGGGTAAATGTGAGGTTTTTGAAAAAGGAAATATGTATGAAGAATTTAACACTGAATAACACATATCCACTAGTCGGGTAATTTCTTTTGTCCATTAAGCCTGTTCATTTTTTAACATAACATAAAAAGATGGAACTTGCAGGATAAACAAAATACTGACCAGCACCTTATTATCTGACACCTAACAACAGATGTTATACCAACATTTTGTTTAAATACATTTGGTGCTATATTCTGTGAAAACAGAAATAAACATGAGTAAGACCTAATTCATTTAGCATTTCATCATTTATCTCAAAGTATTTCTTATTTACAATGAATAGACTGCAGTTGAAAGGCAGGTATGATGTATGTATCCAGACCAAAACTGTCAAATACAGTCATTGATAAAGCTCAAGTTCAAACTTGCCGTCTACATAATTAAAATTTAAAAAATACTGAAGAACAATGCAAGGAAACTTCTTTAATTTTCAAAGCTGTCCCAGAGAATACATTTTGAACTAAAGTTTTCCAATTGCAGCACGACTTTCACATTCTTTATTTTTGTAGACTTTTTTTTTAAAGCTTTATAAAACATTACCGTTTAACATATTGACAATCTTTATCTTGTAAACTGACCCTTTTGATATCCAACAATTCAATTCTTTTATTCATAAATAAAGCATTAAAATTAAACAAGGTGTTACTTTAAAAAAATATTTCAAATGTTTTAAAACGGCTGTAACAAAAACATACATGTATTCCAATTTAGCTGTATCGTATGTATTATTACCATAGCAACTAATAAACATGACAAATATCAAACAGATATCATAAATACTCCATTCAAAAGAACTAGTTTTGAAAAATGCATTTTACATGATTTGTTTCATGAATATACCATTTTGATTGGTAAGAACTCATTTATGAGTGTCTTAAGGTCATTAAAAAATATCTCTGTTTATAACAGAAATGTTAGATTTCATCTATTCCAACAAGTGAACACCTATTTTCAACCATCCACTCCTTTATCTTTGTCAGAGTCGTCTTCTACCATTTCACCATTAATCATTTCAACATGAATCTGATTTTGATCATTTTGTTGTTGTGCCCAGTTATCATTATATGTAACTTTATCCACAGCAACTACAGTCACAGAATCAATTTTGTCCTGAAGGTCTGCCCTAGATGATGCCAGTGCATGCTGCACGGCCATTTCTTTCTGTGCCCTCTCTTCCATCAATGCTCTGGACATTTGTATTTGGAATTCTAATCTAGTTTGTTGTAAAGCCTACAAAAAATCTCATTCAGTAACTATTGTAGGTAATTTCCTCACATATCAAATGTAACAATACTAAAATGATATATATAGACCTGCATAAAACCTGCATTTATGCTGTAAGTAAAATTACTATGCTCTTGCACTATGTTCCCAGGATTTTGATACCTAAAATGACCACATAATCCTATTTCAAAATTCACATTTACATGTGATTGTCCGATGTCAGGATTGACTGTTGGTCTTTAACGTCACTTTCAGCACTATTAGCTAAATCATGGTGGTCTGTTTAATTGGTGGAGGAAGCCAAGAGCCAGGGGGGAATCACCAATAAAACTGACAATCTTAGTAAATTAAAATTAGAGTAGAACAATCTGCCATGTGCGGGTTTTGAGGTCACAACCTCAGTGTTGACAGGATATTGAAACAGTAAACAACAAACACCACTCAACCACTGAGCGCCTCCCCCACCCCATGTCAGGAACCTCCTCAGTAGTTGTCATATGTCATATCTTAATGCTTTTTTGTTAGTTTGAGAGTTGGGTGTTACTAGCAGATCTTTTGATGTTTAATTTATTCACTACTTTTATAGACTCTGGATGATTTACGTCAGAGGTTGACATATTGTGAAGACACCTGTTCATTTTTACAGACTATGTTATGGTCCAGATATCTTTAGTTCATTAAGTTGGGTTGCTGTCTATTTGACAAATACCTCATATCTATTTTTATTCATATCTAGATGTGCATGTATGAATGAATAGAAATATAATTTTATTTCAAATTTTCTATATATAATAAGTATCTAAAAACAGTTCTTATGTATGCCTCACATACATAATAAATCATTGTTAGTAAAGATAATCTGGGGAATATTTAGTTCATTAATATGAATGATTCAACCTTTTACAGGATGGAAACATGTACAAATGTAAAAAAAGGAAGATTTGTTTTTTTGCGTGACATAAATTGAACTGTACTTTTTGAGTGTAGGTGTACCATAAAAGTTTGCATTCTGTTGAAGAAAAATTTCCCCATGTCTGAGACCAGGGCCTAATCTAGGATTTTGAAGAGGGAGAAGTGACTTCTCCTTCCAAGAGAGAGAAGGGAGAAGTGGTCAATTTCTTGGAGAAGTGAGATTCCATTACCGTTTCGGTTGCATCGTGTTTTCATGCTTATCACTAAGGAAATTGTTTTATATTCAATAAAAGATATACTTGCAGTTTTTTCATATGTTATTGTACACAATGTATATATAGAAAGTTCTTAATAAAAAGGTTTAGACAATATATAGTTGTTATTTATTTATTGATACCATTGTGTTCTAAATAAAATTTGTTGATTGGGACAGGAGGGAGTAGCCTAGTAATATTATCATGATTATGATGCATTAAATTCATGTGCAACTGCCTCAATTTATTTAAGTCCAGAAAAAATATAACTCCCAGTTTTCCTGTTGAATTTCACATGACTGGGAATTTAATTTATATCACCACTTGTCATTATTTTGTAAAACATTATTGAATGTCCAGGACCGTGATTTTATAGGTTAGTTGTAAATTGAGATTATCGTTAAAGATTGTAAGTCTATAAATGAAAATATTTTTCAATCGCATATTAATTATCCGACAAAGAGCTAATTTCTATTATTTTTTTAAAAATATCATCCATATCAACGAAATGGTCGTGAGAAACAATCCACTGCTGATCACAACCTGGTCGAGTGTCGTACGTTTGCCATCACATTATCCATCAGCAGTCTTTCTATCTTTTATATTTCAATTTCTATTCAATCAATATAATAAATCTACCGTTAATTCCAACCTTTTACCTACCGAATAGTAAAATTGATCGACTCGTGTAAGTTGTAAAAATAAAACAAATCAGCTGAGTGATTACGCAACATCCTCAGATGAAAATTATCGTAAAATGATAACTTAAACAGACGGTCAGTTTTCCGTTTGAACAGTTTTGAAAGTTATATCCGAGGATGTTCAAAGTCGCCGTTGTATTTATCTAATTTGATCGTTGACAGTATTAGTCCTTGGTCGTTTCGAAAATCTCGATTTTCCTTGTCAGCCGCCATTTTTTTTACCTGTGAGACTTGTCAATCACAAGTTGTCTCCCTTTTACCGATTTTGATAGCGATTTGACTTCGCTATGAAGTCAGTCGGCCGGCGAGATTTAGCGATTTTAAAAATTCTTTGGCGACTTAAATCGTCATTTCGCCGGCAAGATTATGGCCTGTCTGAGACAACTGAGCCAGACAATATAATCTTACATATATGAAGAAAAATTAAACCAAGCAAATATTGCATAGAACAAATTAAAGAATTTCTGGTCAAACCATCATTAGTGACATTTAAAAGGAGCATGCTAACCATTAACTGTGGTAAAAATGAAGGAATGTCAGCTAAAGCTAATATAAACAAGAAATGATTGTAACAGGATGCTGTTACGAAGTCTCCCAAACGAAGCTCCCATAATTCGTAATTCCCAGGGTCGCCTGACATTGGGCAACGTCCAGTGAAAATTGGTTTGGTCCAGTAAAGTTATATGCATTAGTGATGCCTGGGGACTAACCTTGTATATCATTCAAATCATCTTGGCATGACAAACCAGAATATATATGGTTTAGGGGTGGGGATCTCGACCATTTACAAGATACTAGAACATTGGGGGTGGGGAGTAACCCCTGGGGACTGGCCCTATACGTCATTCAAATGTTCATTACATGACGAACAGGAATATATATGGTTTAGGGGTGGGGATCTCAACCATTTACAAGATATTAGAACATTGGGGGTGGGGGGAACCCCTGGGGACTGACCGTATATGTCATTCAAATGTTCGAGACATGACAAATAGGAATATATATGGTTTAGGGGTGGGGATCTCAACCATTTACAAGATATTAGAACTTTCTCAAAAGGCAGGGGGTCGGGATGACCCCTGGGAACTAACCCTGTATATCATTCAAACCATCTTCCCATGACAAACCAGAATATATATGGTTTAGGGGTGGGGATCTTGACCACTTAGAAGATATTAGAACTTTCTTAAATGGCAGGGGGTTGGGGTGACCCCTGGGGACTAACCCTGTATTTCATTTGATGTGCTTTATCATGACAAACCAGAATATATATGGTTTAGGGGTGGGGATCTTGACCACTTACAAGATATTAGAACTTTCTTAAATGGCAGGGGGTGGGGGTGACCCCTGGGGACTAACCCTGTATTACATTTGATGTGCTTTATCATGACAAACCAGAATATATATGGTTTAGGGGTGGGGATCTTGACCACTTACAAAATATTAGAACTTTCTTAAATGGCAGGGGGTGGGGGTGACCCCTGGGGACTAACCCTGTATTTCATTTGATGTGCTTTATCATGACAAACCAGAATATATATGGTTTAGGGGTAGGGATCTCGACCATTTACAAGATATTAGAACTTTCTCAAATGGCAGGGGGTCGGGATGACCCCTAGGGACTAACCCTGTATATCATTCAAACCATCTTAGCATGACAAACCAGAATATATATGGTTTAGGGGTGGGGATCTTGACCACTGACAAGATATTTGAACTTTCTTAAATGGCAGGGGGTGGGGGTGACCCCTGGGGACTAACCCTTTATTTCATTTGATGTACTTTATCATGACAAACCAGAATATATATGGTTTAGGGGTGGGGATCTCAACCATTTACAAGATATTAGAACTTTCTCAAATGGTAGGGGGTCGGGGTGACCCCTGGGAACTAACCCTGTATATCATTCAAACCATCTTAGCATGACAAACCAGAATATATATGGTTTAGGGGTGGGGATCTTGACCACTTACAAGATATTAGAACTTTCTTAAATGGCAGGGGGTGGGGGTGACCCCTGGGGACTAACCCTGTATTACATTTGATGTGCTTTATCATGACAAACCAGAATATATATGGTTTAGGGGTGGGGATCTTGACCACTTACAAAATATTAGAACTTTCTTAAATGGCAGGGGGTGGGGGTGACCCCTGGGGACTAACCCTGTATTTCATTTGATGTGCTTTATCATGACAAACCAGAATATATATGGTTTAGGGGTGGGGATCTCGACCATTTACAAGATATTAGAACTTTCTCAAATGGCAGGGGGTCGGGATGACCCCTAGGGACTAACCCTGTATATCATTTAAACCATCTTAGCATAACAAACCAAAATATATATGGTTTAGGGGTGGGGATCTTGACCACTTACAAGGTATTAGAACTTTCTTAAATGGCAGGGGGTGAGGGTGACCCCTGGGGACTAACCCTGTATTTCATTTAATGGGCTTTATCATTTAGAACATTTTCAATTAAAAAGATTGTGTCTATCACAAAAGGTTTTCAATTTATAATCATTTGAAAATTTTAAAAAATAAAATCCCATAGGGTTCTATAGTAAAACCCTCTACTCTTTTTGCCCCTCAAAGTACCCCTTTATAAACCCCATTGCACAAACGAAACCCTGATTGCACCACTAGACATGTTAGTCTAACATATTGTGAAACCCTAAGTTAATCTGACAAGCGGTTTTGGAGAACGGGTGCGGACAAGTTCAAATTTAAAAGCGGCGGAAGAAGAAGAAGAAGAAGAAGAAGAAGAAGAAGAAGAAGAAGAAGAATAATAATAATAATAAGAACTGAGCAAAAACAATAAGTCTTCCCAAACTTCGTTTGGGAGACTTAATAATCAGGGTTGGCAAAAACCCGGGTTTTATGAGTATTGCCCAGCCCAGTGGGAAATACTGGGAAAACCCGGGTTTTACCGGGTAATACTGGGCAATACTGGGTAATATGAAATATTGCCCTGAATTTTAAAGAGGATTCAGTGATTAATCACAAATGCAATACATTAAAGTCATACACTTCAATTTGTTTTTTTAATAAATAGAACTAATATTAAGAATTAACAATTCTATGTAAGGAAAATTACTTTTAATCATTTTTTGTTCATAACTAAAAATGTTTACTAAGTTTTAGCATGCATATGTTTATGTACATCACCAATTAATATGTAATTATTCAGATTATAATACAGATTTGATAATATAGCAATAATCAGCCTTTTGATTTCTTTAAGTGTTCATGGCCTTTCCCCTTTGGGTGTTTATTTAGAAATATGATTGTATAACATTAAAATTTACAATTTACTTAAACACTGCAATAAAATGCTTTTTTTCAACTTGGATTTAATATTGAAACAAAGCTTGGAAATTAACAAGGTATCCTGAAATGTCCAAAACTTGTATTCTGCCTACATAGAATTAGTGGATAAAAGGAAGAAATTGAATTTTCAATCTTCAGGACTGACCCTCAATGGTTATCTGTATAATATGTATTTATTTAGCTATGATACTATTAAACTACAACAAGTCTTTACTATTTTGTGTAAAAATAAGCTTGAAAAATCATATTACCCAGTATTGCCCAGTATTACCCATTTCTATGAGTATTGCAAAGCCCGGGAAAAACCCAGGTTTTCCCGCCCGGGTAATACTTTGCCAACCCTGTTAAAATAATGCATGTTTCTAAGATCCATGATCTATGCACACATTAATTCCCCTGGTTTACAATTTCCCCCTATTTAACTATTCTCTCATTGTTACACAACTTGTGATACTGTGGGTTCATTATTTTTCATGGATTTTGAGGGTATAAGGAAACCAGGAATTTAAGTGTTCAATAAAGGAAAAATTTCATATTGATTTGTATGCAGAATATGTAAAACCCACGACATAAAATATCCAAGTAAATACATTTTTTTTCTAAATCCACACAAATTGGTTCCCATGAATATATATTAATCACAGTAACCTTTCAAAAATAATTATTGCAAGGATTTGTATTTAGAATATATGTCATCAGACAAAACCTTTCTGTAGAAAGATCAAAACCTACTTCTTGTTTTTCTTTTTCACACTGCATTTTGACTTGCTGTATGGCAGCTTCTCTGCTTAACTGACTCTGCTGCTTGGCTTGTTCTACCATGGCCTTCAGTTGCTGAGCTTGAGTAAGAAGATTATTAGCCATCTAAAAGAAGATATGATTGTCTGTGATTGTTTAAAAGAAGTATCCTGCGTTGAAGTAACAGTCAGAAAAATTAATAAATCAAATCATACAGCATATTTCGTTTCATTCCATTTGTATGCTGAATGTTGTCCTTTTTCATTAACACATTACAGAAGTTGTTTATACAGATATGGCTTTTCAACAATTTAAAAAACCTGCAAAATCTAAGATAGTTTAAATCAATAATGATGTAAGAAACTGAGATACAGTCCAAGGTTTAACCCCAGCATTCCCTCAGTAGCTACATTTAAGTGAAACAAAACTATGCAATAATTCAGATTATATTATATATTTATATGGCACAAAATAATAATTTACCTCTTCTAGCTGCCACCACTGACGTTGTTCATTAACATCAGGTAAAGATATTGCAGATCCGTGAGGTGTCTTAGGTGTCATTGGTATGGACGTCATCATTACAGCATCTGAAACAAAATGTGACAAGTAGTACATCTGTCATTTAAGTAGTGTTCAACCTTTTGTTATTCCACTGACCAAGATTAAAAGGGTAATGGCCAAAATAAAAAAAAATAATTTAGTTCTGCCACATGTGCTTGTTCAAAGTCAGGAACCTCATCAGTGCTCGTCTTTAGTTATTTTTAATTTTTTTTGTCATTTTGAGACTTTGATGTTGATGGCAAATCTTTGCTGGTTCTATTAAATTCATGCACAAATTTTCTAGATTTGGAGCAATTTGAACTTTGACATTTTGTATAGATTCCAGTCTATCATTGAAGACCATAATTTGACCTTTAAAAGTCTTTCCATTTTTTGTGCCCTTGGGTTGTTGTATCATTGACTTAAACCCCTGGCCCCACATCTCTTTTCTTTCAGCTTTTTTGTACTACATGTATCATTCTGGTAAGGGAACCATCATTACAGCATCTAAATGCTATAGTATGAGCATGTCCTATTATCGGCAATCTGTACAGCAATTGCTAACAATGATTTCATGCATTAGTCTCTTGTGCATCTACCTCCATTTATTAATGAAAGGTCAAGAAAAACTTATTCCCAGTATATATCTGATGATAAGAACAGTCTGGCCAATTAATAATAAATTTATTTATTTGAAATAATGAATCAAATAACTTCTGCATTTCAACATAAAGACAAAATATTCTATCATGGCAGATATAGGGACAATAGATTCATAATATATGATGGAACATCAGATGAAATTCTTGATTTTTTTCGTCTAGCAAATAATTATAACCCCTTATTGAAGTTCACCTATGAAATCTCAAACAACAAAATATCGTTCTAAGATGTTCTTGTAATTACGGTAAAGGTCAAAGATTTACAACACATGGCATTCTTGACCTTGAAATACATTTTAAAGAAACAAATTCTTATTTCTATCTGCACAGAAATAGCTGTCACTCACAGCATGTATTCCGAGGATTTATTAAAAGTGAGGCAATACGGCAGATAAGAAACACAAGTGACCACAACAAATAAATAAACAAACGAACTAATTTTAAAGTGAAATTATTAGATAGGGGTTATGATAACGTCAAAATAGATGATAATATTACTGATACTTTATCAATTGACCGTATTGAATTATTACAACAAAACAAATCGAAGAAAAAAGAAAATATTCTGTTAGTTTTAGTAACTAAATATAACCCATATATATGTAAAATAAATGTTGATAGTGTCCACATGTGGACAAAGATGATGCCCCCGCTTGCATAGCATATAGTTATAAAGGGACATAACTGAAGAACGGTAAAAGTGACGCTACCCAAATTTGAACTTGATCTGAGTTTTGTGGTAATAAGCATTGTGTGTAAGTCTCATAACATTTGGTTGAGGCTAACTTAAGTAGAGAACAGAAACTAAAAATTCAGCAATTTTTCTATTTGTAAACACGCATAACTCTAGAACGGTTGTGTATAAGTTTTATTACATATTTGGTTGAGACAAACTAAAGTTAGAGAACAGAAAGGAAATTTTCAACAATTTTTATGTTTATAAAGGGACATAACTCAAGAATGGTAAAAGTGTTCTCTCCAAATTTCGTACTTAATCAGTATTATGTAGTAATAAGCATTGTGTATAAGTTTCATAACATTTGGTTGAGGCAAACTAAAGTTAGAAAACAGAAACAAAAAATTTGTACTTGATCTTAGTTTTGTGGTAATGAATATTGTGTATCTATAGGTTTCATCATGTTTGGTTGGGGCAAACTAAAGTTACAGAATGGAAACTAAAAATTTTGCAATCTTTTGATTTATAAAGGGGCATAACTCAATAATGGTTAAAGAGACACTACCCAAATTCAACTTGATCTGTGTTTTAACAGTGGAAGTCAAAATTAAACATTGCATTGTATAAAGCATTGATTGTAGTTGATTCAACTATAATCATGGACAAAGGAAGATAACTCCAATTTTAATCAAAGCACGAAAGCGCTGTAAAGGCAGTTAATTACAGGTTGTGTGTATTTTAAGTCCAGTTATATCATTATCTTGCATAGTACAGTGTACTTATCAGAGGTGGCTTTCAGTATTTAAGATTTAGAGTTCTCTAATGATATTGAATAAGTTTTATGAATGTCATATTCTGAGCACTATATGAAAGCGATTGTTCTCACTTGTTTATGAACTAGTGCATTATGTCCAGTTTGTACCTTTTTTATCTATGTTTATAGTCAAATTAGTTATCAAATGTACCAGGATTATAATTTAATACGCCAGACGTGTGTTTCGTCTACATAAGACTCATCAGTGACGTTCAGATCAAAATAGTAACAAAGCCAAACAAGTACAAAGTTGAAGAGCATTGAGGACCCAAAATTCCAAAAAGTTGTGCCAAATACGGCTAAGGTAATCTATTCCTTGGATAAGAAAATCCTTAGTTTTTTCATTGGCAATCATAACACATCTCCTTATTTATATAATGATCTATATTCAACGACCTCAGGTACAAAAAAAAATGTATGTAACTAAACTATGATGGGAAACCTTTGACTTCTTTCTTTATATAAACTTTTGATTTGGTACCATAGAACTATGTAGAGTAAATGTACATTGCAACATGTCAACTCTTTCAACTCCAAGCAAAATTATATTTCCAAGCATAAAGTAATTTATTAATGAAATAAAATGCTCCGCTGGGGCACAGCTTGATACGACCGCAGAGGTCGAACCTTGAACAGTTGGGGCAAGTATGAACACAACATTCAAGCTTGATTCAGCACTGAATTTGGATTGTAATTAAATATTTGACACAGCATAGGTTTCTGACACAGAATGAAAGTGGTCTAAGATACTTAAAAAAATTTAATTTACCTATTCAAACCATATCATTATTATTTGCTTTTATATATACATCAGAAATAACCAATTTAAAATGGAAAATTTTAAAGAAAAAAAAGGAAAAAGAATCCCCCCCCAAACTTTTTGAACCCCCTTATGATTCATCACCCCAAAACTCAATCCCAGCCTTCCCTTTGTGGTATGGTACCTTGCAGTACAATTTCAGAGAGATCCATACACTTGAACACATGTTATTGTCTGGAAACTAGAAAAATGCTTGTTTTTTGGCCCCTTTTTGGTCCCAAATTCCTAAACGTTTAGGGCAATTACCCCCAAACTCAAACCCAGCTTTCCCTTTGTGATATGGAACCTTGTAGTACAATTTCATAAAGATCCATACACTTACACACAAGTTATTGCCATGAAACTAGAAAAATGCTTGTTTTTTGCCCCTTTTTGGCCCCTTATTCCTAAAATTTGGAGGCAATTACCCCCAAAATCAATCCAAGCATTCCCTTTGTGATATGGAACCATGTGATACAATGTCAGAGAGATCCATAGACTTACACACAAGTTATTGTCATGAAACTAGAAAAATGCTTGTTTTTTGCCCCTTTTTGGCCCCTAATTCCTAAAATTTGGAGGCAATTACCCCCAAAATCAATCCCAGCATTCCCTTTGTGGTATGGTACCTTGCAGTACAATTTCAGAGAGATCCATACACTTGAACACAAGTTATTGTCTGGAAACTAGAAAAATGCTTATTTTTGACCCCTTATTCCTAAACTTTTTGGGCAATTACCCCCAAACTCAATTCCAGCTTTCCCTTTGTGATATGGAACCTTGTAGTACAATTTCATAAAGATCCATACACTTACACACAAGTTATTGCCATGAAACTAGAAACATGCTTGTTTTTTCCCCTTTTTTGCCCCTAATTCCTAAAATTTGGAAGCAATTACCCCCAAATTCAATCCCAGCATTCCCTTTGGATATGGAACCTTGTGATACAATGTCAGAGAGATCCATAGACTTGCACACAAGTTATTGTCATGAAACTAGAAAAATGCTTGTTTTTTGCCCCTTTTTGGCCCCTAATTCCTAAAATTTGGAGGCAATTACCCCCAAAAATCAATCCCAGCATTCCCTTTGTGATATGGAACCTTGTGGTACAATGTCAGAGAGATCCATACACTTACACACAAGTTATGTCTGGAAGTTACAAAAATGCTTATCTTTGGCCCCTTTTTGGCCCCTAATTCCTTAACTGTTGGTACCATAACCCCCAAAATCAATCCCCACTTTCCTTTTGTGGTATTGAACTTTATTTTAAAATTTCATTGAGATCCATTCACTTAAACTAAAGTTAGAGTGCGAAAACTAATGTGTCTTCGGACAATGACACTGACGACGACAACGTCATACCAATATACGACCACAAAAATTATTTTGCGGTCGTATAAAAAGGAGTTCTTAATTAAGAAATAAACTGATACACTGAGCGCAGCTGGATACACCCGCAGAGGTACTACCCTGAACAGCTGGGGCAAAAATGGACACAATATTCAAGCTTGATACAGGTCTGAATTTGGATTGTAATTAAATATTTGACATATTATAGTTTCTGAATAAATGTAGTCAATGAACTTGAAATCGGTTATATGAATTGAATTTATATTCAATTAAAGATTTCTTGCTGTTGTGCAATACACTGTGCTGTTGTGCAATACTTAATAAATCTTTGCCAGACTATAAACAAATAAAGTTCAATTTCTTCTCAATGTCATATTTGAAATTTATGAAAATCAATAGGGAGATTACATCAATAGCTATAAATAATTCACCAAAGTTTCATGTGAACTGCTTAAAGCATTTTTGAGTTGTTGTCTAAAAACTGGAAAATCCCCCCTTTTTTAATGAATAAAACCCCATAACTCAGAAATGTAAAATCTAAAATTTATAAAATTCTAAAGGGAGCTTACGGATTGATAATTTAGTCTTAGATGCAAGATTTTTTTATCAGTTGTTAGTGGCTTTGAACTAGCTGTCAGTAACTGCGAGTACTCTCAGATTTGTACTAAGTGTCTTTTTGTTGTTTGGATGTACAACTACCCTACCACGTCCACTTGTATTTGTATTTATCCATCTGATGAGTTTAGCCTCTTTCAACTGATTTTTATAGTTCTTTCTTATATTGTACTGTTACACCACTGTCCCAGGTTAGGGGGAGGGTTGGGATCCCGCTAACATGTTTAAGCCCGCCACATTCTGTATGTACATGTATGTGCCTGTCCCAAGTCAGGAGCCTATAAAAGTGTAATTCAGTGGTTGTCGTTTGTTTATGTGTTGCATATTTGTTATATTTGTTCATTTTTTTACATAAAATAGGCCGTTAGTTTTCTTGTTTGAATTGTTTTACATTGTAATTTCTGGGCCTTTTATAGCTGACTGTGCGGTATGGGCTTTGCTCATTGTTGAAGGCCGTACTGTGACCTATAGCTGTTAATTTCTGTGTCATTTGGTCTCTTGTGCATGTGTGGAGAGTTGTCTCATTGGCAATCATACCACATCTTCTTTTTTATATTTACATCAACAGATATAAAAAATTCACCAAAGTCAAGGTGAGACAACAAAACTTAGTTATTAGATCTCTGAAATTTTTTACAGGGTACGAGTTTTTCTCATTGTTGGAGATTGTACGGTGACAGTAACACCTGTAACTGCTTAAACCCATTTCTTATGCACTTTAGTTTGATAAACTCACTGAATATCATACCACATCTCCTTATTTTTATATGCATTACAATTTACATGTGCATGTAATTGTAAATATATATATATCAGAACAAAATTCATTGTGTCACTTTTATTTATGCATCCTTTGGCACAATACAAGTTCTAAAATTACACAACATAAAACAACTAAATGTTATTTCAGATGAAAGTTTTGTTTCAGTTCCATTCATAGGATTTATTAGAATTTTGTATGTTTTGCCAAGTCCAATAATTCGCTCTATGTGACATAGAGACATAGTTGACTAAACCACCAGGTGTCGAACATTCAAGAATTTTCAGTGTTTCTGTTTTTATTTGATGAAAAGGCAGTGTTTCTGTTTTTATTTGATGAAAAGGTTGCCTGAGCTCTAGGAGCTTTAGGTTTTATCACGGGATATTCTGTGCTGTCAATAATAATCCAAGTCGTAGGAAACTTTAATTTGAAGTTGGATGGTGAAAAATACCTGACTAAACCACTAGATGGCCAAGTGTTAGCCTCACACCACTGTTTAGACATAAAAACAATCCATGTATACACAATATTCTTAACACTAGATTCAATCTAGAATCTAGACAGTTCAAAGTTGGTTGTATGATGCCTCAATTTCATCAAAGTCATAAAAAAACTGATTTTCAACTGACACCCTATCAATTTGAAAATATATGTATCTCAAACAATGTGCTGCTGGACCAAGTGTGGTCAAAACAAATAAAAATTTAGTATACAACTCTAAACCGGTATAAAAATGCATGGCTGTGTCACGTGTCTTCATTTCAAAATTCTCTGCTGAAAACATAGGCATTGATGGTGTTTGCGTAATTCCATCTGTGAAGCTCAACATTAGCTCGGCAGTTGGTGGTGGACAGTCATAAATCCTTTCTGCAGTATGAATGACTTCTTCAGGAAAACCAACTTTACAATCAAAACTTTCCTCTAGATTTCTACTACAATATTCATCAAGTTTAGTTCTTTTGTTTTCACAGGAAACTGCCCTGATTTTTCTTTTTGCAGACGATTCAGTCTCTTGCTTGGTCCAGGAAAATAGGCTGGGAATTGCAGTAGACTTAAGTCTCTGTATGGTGGGTTTGCGCCCTGAAAAAGGTTATAAAACATTAGTTTTTTTATAAATTAAATGAACTTCCATTAGCAATGTATACTTTGTACTACCTGGCGAAATATTAACTAGATTTATTCATTACAATCTGGATAAAACTATGTTTGCCTGATTCAATGTATGTTATGTAAATCCAAAGGACAAACAATGAGAGACTTATGCAACAAACGCACATTGTTTGTACCTAAATAACTATAATATAGATGAGAGCATGTCATTGTTTTGTTCCTGTTAACATTGTCATTGATATTTTTCAAGAAAGTCTATGAGGCATAGCTTATGCATTCCTGTCATTACTACATTAGCATAATTACTGCTAAAATAATTCTCAGTATGATATACCTCTTGTAAGAAATCATTATAATTGTAGCAATCACCAAAAAATCTCAAACAGATCACATTGAATCGTAATCCAAAAAATTATGACGTCTTGAATTACCCACCCCCTTTTATTCTAAAACGATAATTGCGGTTGTAAACAGACTTTGGTTTATTCGCATGGCGATTACATATATAACTATATATTTCACAAAGAAAATAGAGTTTTACCATGAATAGTTTCCTGCACGTAGTCTTTTTCAGTAAAACGTGCCTTGCAAACAACAGCTGATTGAGATGGACTCCACGATATCATCGTGTTCTCGTCCAATCTGCGTATGGGCCATGGCGTTGATCCAACTTTTCCTTCTTTTTAAGTCATTTGGAAATGCATGTCCTCCTCTTAAATGACATCCAGGTACACAACAACAAGTACTTGGCATCGTTAATTAAAAATATAACTGAAATAGTTGCACAGTGTAGAAACCGGAAGTAGAGGAACAGGATCCGCTACCACGGCGCCACCTATCCAGGAACGATAATTTGCTACTTTAATTAATTTAACTGCGAAAATAAAGTTAGACGGGTTCACGTGCATAAACAGAAATGCGCTTTAAATTGTATAATATAATTCATGTTCAGTCGACCTTTGATTATTATATCAACGACTGAAATGATTTATAAACATCTAGATTGCAGATAACACTCGAAATTAACCCGAGCTCTTTCCACACGGAATTCAAATAATTCTAGTTTGTCAATCGGTTGACTGCTTATAATGCAAAATACTAATATATCAAAAGTTTTTAAAACTAAGAAAACACAATGATCGTTTCTCTATTTCCCAATGTAAATGAAATGAAACAAAAAACATTTTATATCGCAATAAGAAGAGGAGAGAATTCAACATTTCCGGATCTACTTGGAGTCTAAAGACCCCCCACGTAGATAAGTTGGATATCGCGGAAGGAAGGATTAACCCGGCAACTAGAAAGGCATTAAAGCACTGCCTTTAAAAATTACTTGATATTTAGAAGAAAATAAAAATTTTGCAATTTTTCCATTTATAAAGGGGCATAACTCTAGAACAGTAAAAGTGACGCCACCAAAATTCAAACTTGATCTGTGTTTTGTGGTAATAAGCATTGTGTATAAGTTTCATAACATTTGGTTGAGGCAAACTGAAGTTAGAGAATGGAAACTAAAAATTTAGCAATTTTTCCATTTATAAAGGGGCATAACTCTAGAACGGTTAAAGTGACGCCACCAAAATTCAAACTCGATCTGTGTTTTGTAGTAATAAGCATTGTGTATAAGTTTCATAACATTTGGTTGAGGCAAACTCAAGTTAGAGAACGGAAACCAATTACGTACAGACGGACAAGGGTAAAACTTAATGCCCCCACCGCTATGGCAGGGGCATAACAAAAAAAACGTATCATGAAACACTGGTATTTATTGCAGTTTGCCGAAGAATGTGTACAAGTATTCAATGTTGCACCAATAGTTGCATATAGCAGACATAAAAGTATGGGAGACATGCTTACTAGATGAAAGTTAAAGACTTCAACATAAAATTGACAGTTGGACCACTGATGATGGCAAATCTGTCATACTATCTAGATCTATTGATGAAGAATCAAAATATAAATATATCAATATATACATGAATAATTTTCATATTTGATTATATTAAAGTAATGCATCTTACAATGACCATCCCAAGCTTTAAATGCCTAAACACTAAAATAGTGTCGGGTCCTATCATGCAATATGGGATGCGTGGTTGCATGGGTGTTTTATAATAACAAAAACAATGCCTAAGATTTTCTGTATACCAATCAAATCTATATTGGTTCACAACTTTACCAAGGCTATAACTTAAACAAGTTATTACAAAAAATAACAGGTATACTGTTATCCTGGGAATTCTGACAGAGTTGTCTCCTCCTGTCATGAATTGTGTTGAAATAACACGTCTGTTTTTGTACAAAGAAACAATATCTGTAATAATGCCTTTCATTTATCACAGATATCTTTGTCACGTGAAACCCAAATCGGGTAAGATACTTTTAAATCTACCGCTGTTTGTTTTGTTGTTAAGATCTCGTTTGATTTCAACAGGTTTACATAATTATCATTAACACCATTTTCGATAAACAATATAGGCACAGTGATTACCAGTTTGTTGTATTTTTTATGATAACTTCGTCTTGAATATATTTTTTGAAGCAGAATTGATTTAATATTTTCATGTATTTGGGAATATTTGAGCAATTCCTCAATGATACCTTATGATAAAATGGTTATAAATCCTTCATGAATGATTGTATACCAAGAAATGAAGATATCTGTTAATGGCACATTAATTATCCAATAGAGAGCTGATTTTTTTGTTTTTATAAAAGATTTCTCTCTTACCATTAGAAAAAATTGGTCATGAAAACAAATCAAGCTGATGATCACTTGCTGTTTACCTGTGCTACTTGTAAATCACAAAATTGTTGATTTCTACTATTTTTTTTTTGGCAACATTACTTCTCTATGAAGTCAGCCAGTCAGTGAGTTTTAGCTATTTTCAAATTTTTTTTGGCGACTTTTGGCAGCAAGATTATGTCCTGACAGATATGGCAAATATGGTACAATATTTTGTATATTACATACAAAAGATGGTACCATAGTTTCTTCAGATCACAATAAGAGTAATCAAAGCGTGAATGCGCTGGAAAAAGCATTTGCCGTATATTTTACAGAAAATGTTATATTCTACAGTAGATCATTTCTTTTCAAATGCTTTCGTACGAAATACCAGGCATGGTAAACCAGTTCAGTAATGCTATATCTTAATACCACAAATTACCACAGGAAATAAACACGACTTGTTGCAGATCCGCAAACACAGTAAGGTTTACCAATACAATACTTCGGTTAAATTAACAAAAGTATTTTGATATTTAAACAAGCAAGAGAGCCCCTATGTATTCTTTTATAACAGCAAAATTTAATTCGTAAAAAATAAAATTAATAATTATTTGGTAATAAGAATGATCGAGATTAGCCGAAAGAGGGCGCTGAATTTCTTGTATCACTGCGTTCGAAAATGAAGTCTGTTACGTAACCTATAGTGGATCAAAATTTCTAAGTAAAAGGGTTAACTATTAAACTTCCATTCAAATATTGCGTTTGAGGAATGCTTAATCAAATGAACTTAATTCCCAATACAAAAGTCAAGCAAACACATACTTTTACACAATTTTGAAAGAACTGTAGAATGAAAATGTGTGCACTCTATTTCAAGTAAACAAAATGGCATTTACACGATAACCATAAAAGCAAATGCTTTTAAAAATAAAATACTTGTAACAAGTATAAAAAGTTTCGTAAATAATGTTTGTGCCTTCAACATATTCAAGATTGTCTGTGAAATGCTGTAGCAATATTCCTGTAAAAGGAATCAAATGTCAACAATAACAATTGTCTGATCTTAGAAGTAAGACATTACCTCCTGAAATAAGATTTCCATGTCCATCAGTGGTCAATATCTGGACAGTTTCTCCCTCTGTATTGGTCACTTTTATTGGATGGGCATGTTGCTGTGGTTGTGATGTAGCAAGAGAAAGCATCATACCTATATACAAATATTTACAATTAGCTCATTCATGAAATTTTGACATTATTAAATAGAAGAACATTGTTGTATAGTAAATTGTTAAATGTTGAAAATTACATTATAAAAATCTTTAATTTTCTGTTGTAATAAAATTGAGATTATAGTCCACAAGATTCAGTTGTGTAATTTCAATAGTAGCTATGGATATAAAACAAATAGTAAAGTCAATTCTCACTTGCAACTTAATATAAATATTTACTATTGTAAAATTTTCAGCTCTTTAAGTGTTATAATTTACCATGGTCTTTCCCAATGGAGACTGGTGTAAGTGTTGCTGGAATCATTGATGATGATGTTGGTGTTTTTGTAGAATTTAGACGTTGTTTCTTTGCTACAAATTGTGGTGAAGTAGTTGGGGCTGGAGACAATGGACCTGGTCCACTTTCGCTGTCTTTCTTTCGTCGTTTATAAGGCACAAATAATCGAACAGGCCCTGTCTGAAATGCAAAGAAATAAAAATGTTTGTTTGATGGGTATAATCTCTTACTTTATTACATAAAAAAGCCAAATTTTAAAAATGGACATCTCATGATCAATAGGGTGAAAGTACAATACTTTGTTCTCAAATAATTCAGAAACTGTTTACGTTTCAATTAATAATAATCACATACTTAATATATTAAAAAAAAAGGAATCTTAATCTTATTAGTCAGAACAACTCATAGTTTTTTTGTATAAATATATATTATTTGTTTCATTGTCATTCATACCATGGCCACATCTCCTTAAATTTCGCCGTGATATAGCCTTTTTGTGCTGATGCCGCATAAAGCATCAACAATCAATCAATCTCCATAAATTTTTTATTATTTGTTTAATCTTTATTTCAAAAGCTGCTTTTATCATGATTATACACAAACCCCCGAACAGTATTTTTATGTGTAATTTTTTTCCAATTCTCAATAACACAAAATGGTCTAGTTGAAATTTTAAAATTCTCAAACATGTGTTGTTTATGATGGGATTATAAGTCAAATATTTTCTATCTGGGAACCTGCTATGAATACCTGGAGAAATTTTTTTCCAAAGAGCTATGAATGTGTATTTATAAAGTACTTACTACAGCATCGTCATCACAGCATGCTGCACATGTACAGGAAGTAGCATGCGGCTGTAAAATATTATCATCTATCAGACACTGCAATGTCCGACCACCATATCTTATACTTCTCTTCCAATCTTTACTACTGGCTCTTCCACTGTGTGCCTCAAACTCGTTTGGGGTAAACCAATCCTCTAGACTCTTTATACACCGACCCCTACCACCTAAAAAAAGAATGTATAATTAACCATTTAATGGTATACAGATAGTGTGGAACTATACACAAGAGCGCTGCAAACAACGTTAATGTAACAGTATCACAGATTGATTAGGTACAGCATAAATTTGCAATTATGCAGACTAGCTGCATACAAGACGTCCCAATAATCAATTAACATGCAATACATAACTCTTCATATGCATTTTCCACTTAAAGAAACAGTTTCAAGAGGCAATGTGTTAATAAACCAATAGACTTATATCAATGACAATGGGATCTAATTACATGTACCATAATTCATTCTTCCCATCAAAATCTTAACATCCCAAAAATATTTAAATAATACCTACATGTACACAGGGCTTTCAAAATTATTTTTAGCCAGCCGGACATTTTATATATTATCCCGATTTTAATCCCTTAAGAGTAAATAAACAAAGGGCAATTATGGTAATCAGTTGCCGAGTTGGCCATCCCAATGATTGACATGAAAAAAAAACGATATTTAACTTTCTTTGATTCAAATTCGAAGTTCTGACGTAAACTGTTAAATTGGCAGTGCATCATTCGAAGTGTGCAACAATAAATTACATTAGCGTACTTATATTTGCCTTAGACTCTTTATTTGTGCAAAATAACGTTGTCAATAAAATGCTCCGCAGGGCGCAGCTTGATACGACCGCAGAGGTCGAACCCTGAACAGTTGGGGCAAGTATGGACACAACATTCAAGCTTGATACAGCTCTGAATTTGGATTGTGATTAAATATTTGACACAGCATAGGTTTCTGACACAGAATGAATGTGGTCTAAGAACTTAAAAATTTTAAATTGGACATTCACCTATTATGGTCCAATATCCAAAATCTAAATACATGGTTAGATTCAGCATATCAAAGAACCCCAAGAATTCAATTTTTGATGAAATCAAACAAAGTTTAATTTTGGACCCTTTTGACCTCAATGTGGACAAAGTTGATAACGGGGCCCAAAAATCAAAAATCTAAATACATGGTTAGATTCAGCATATCAAAGAACCCCATATATTCAATTTTTGTTGAAATCAAACAAAGTTTAATTTTGGACCCCGATTTGGACCATAATCAAAAATCTAAATACATGTTTAGATTCAGCATATCAAAGAACCCTAAAAATTCAATTTTTGTTAAAATCAAACTAAGTTTAATTTTGGACCCTTTGGACCTTAATGTAGACCAATTTGAAAACGGAACCAAAAATTAAGAATCTAAATACACGGTTAGATTCGGCATATCAAACAACCCCAATAATTCAATTTTTGATGAAATCAAACAAAGTTAAATTTTGGACCCTTTGGACCTCAATGTGGACCAATTAAAAAACGGGTCCCAAAATCCAAAAACTTAATACACAGTTAGATTCAGCATATTAAAGAACCCCAAGAATTCAAGAATAAAACCCCATTGAAATTGATCAAGAAATAAGCAATTTATACGAAGTATCTTCTTTTGCACAATACTGTGCAATTGAATATTTCTTGCTATTGCGCAATACTGTACAATTGACAATTTCTTGCTATTGCGCAATATTGTGCTATTGGATATTTCTTGCTTTTGTGCAATACTGTGCAATTGAAGATTTCTTGCTATTGCGAAATACTGTGCAATTGAAGATTTCTTGCTATTGTGCAATACTGTGCTATTGAAAATTTCTTGCTATTGCACAATACTTATTATATAATAATTTTCACATCCTGTTTGGTGTGTATCTCCTACCATATCATTATTATTTGCTTTTAAATATAAATCAGAAATAACCAACTTAAAATGGAAAATTTTAAAAGAAAAAAAAAAGGAAAAAAAGAAAAGAAAAAAAAATCCCCCCCCCCCCCCCAAAAATTTTTTGAACCCCCTTATGATTCATCACCCCCAAACTCAATCCCAGCCTTCCCTTTGTGGTATGGTACCTTGCAGTACAATTTCAGAGAGATCCATACACTTGAACACAAGTTATTGTCTGGAAACTAGAAAAATGCTTGTTTTTTGCCCCTTTTTTGGCCCCTTATTCCTAAAATTTTGAGGCAATTACCCCCAAAATCAATTACAGCCTTCCCTTTGTGATATGGAACCTTTTGGTACAATGTCAGAGAGATCCATACACTTACACACAAGTTATTGTCTGGAAGTTACAAAAATGCTTATTTTTGGCCCCTTTTTGGCCCCTAATTCCTTAACTGTTGGTACCATAACCCCCAAAATCAATCCCAGCCTTCATTTCGTGGTATTGAACCTTATGGTAAAATTTCATGCAGATCCATTCACTTAAACTAAAGTTAGAGTGCGAAAACCAATGTGTCTTCGGACGACGCCGGACGACGCCAGACGACGACGCCAACGTCATACCAATATACGACCAAAATTTTTTTAATTTTTGCGGTCGTATAAAAACTTTGTTTTTAATCTACCGGATGTTATCTTGACAATGGTAAAACATGGACCAGAGACGGATACGTAAATTCCGTGTACATTTGCAAAGCATGAATGAGTGGAAGTAGCTCCTTCTACTTTATTTCTTCAAGAAAATATTCGAAATAAACATGAGATAAAGGTATCAATGACAATTTAAGCATTTTTTGAAGAAATTAGGATGCATAATTAAATTTCACACCTGCGCACATGCATAATTTAAATCTTTTTGACTTAATTAATTAGATGCAAACCGCTGAAATGTAAGAAAATAACTTTGAATAGACCGATCAATGTCCGTTTCAAAATAGTTTACCTGTCACCTGAACAGGTAAATTTCAGCTGTTCGACAACTAATTAGCCTTGATTAAAATGAAAAGGTATTAAAGTAGGGGTTGTTTTGATAGTACTTAATGATCATATCACTTTTATGACCGGAAATGTGTGGCTGTTAAAGGCAAAATGTTGGGTCAAAAAGATCGCGAATTCTGTTAAAATGACCGTCTTTTAAAGCCTTGAAAACTAAAAAGTAGATGACCGTTTCATGCTTTGCCCAGCCGGACTTTTACCGGACATTATACAAATGTCCGGCATATATGACCGTTTTGGAAGCCTTGCATGAACATGTTCAATATAATACCAAGAGATCAATTAAATTTTCGTGTATTACTGCATCATATTTGTACTATAAATAACAAAAAAACAAAAGTGTTCCCTACATGTATTAAATATCTAATAGACTTTTGAATAAGTTACAATGTATATACATTTGAACATGTACATGTACTGTACAGTATTCAATAAAACTTTTGAAAATCATACAATTATTGGTGATAGACAGCCGTTAACAATTTTCTTGCTACTTCAAATGTATACAGAAAAGAATGTATCTGATTTTTTCCTGCAATTTCAATGTAACATTTTTGAAGCAGTACACTATTAAGTGCCAGAGAAATAGTGGTCCATGTGCTCATTTCGGAGCTAAAAACTTAAATTTTTAAATGCTGAAGGCAGAGATCTTGAAAAGTGGTGGTCCGAAAGGTTTTGAACAACAAAAATTGCAAAGAACCGACACAATTTTGGTATTTTGAATAGAAATAATAGTGAGGACAAGCAGATTTTCTTCAAGGACCACCAGAGAAAAGATTTCGAGGACTTTGCTGAAGATCCCATTTCCCTGTTTCAGTGTTCGACACTAAAATTATTTCACAGTTTCTTCTTTATAGAATACCGTTGTGCAGCTACATTATGTTAAGGCTGTATATCAAAAGGCTATAGGAATTACTGTTACAAATGTACATGTATATAAAGAATGTGTGATAATGGTGATAAAAGAGTGAACAGTCTCAATTTGGTTCAAATCAGATTTCATGTGCTTAAATATTATGTTACTTTGTCTTAATTTAAATTCAAGTTACCGATTTGATGATGTTGGTGATCCTTTCGTTTTATTTATGAAGGCAGTCTGGCTTATTATTAGCAACATTGCAAAGAGAAAATGCATTAAATTTTGAAAGCAGTCAATTATCTGCCCTTGCTACTGTATCATATGCCCTTAACATTAAATGGAGTTGCCTATATCTGGTATTATGTTTCAGATTTCAAAAACCCCACATCCCCTGGAATATTAGAAGACAGAATGTGTTGAAAAGAGAATGGTTGGCACATACTGCTAATATAGTTTTTCAATTATATATAAATATAGATGACTTTAAAATTCATGCATTTCCCCGTACATTTCTGATGTCACAATGTTTTAGACATTAAGATGTCACAGTTAAAGTCGATTGTTCAATAAAGTCATTTAACCGGATAAACTTCCAGTCCCGTCAAATGGCGAAACTCATTCATAAACAATAGCTCAAAATTGGTGTATACCTGAACCAAATTTTGCTTTGTGCAATTCTCCGTTTGTATTTTTGCACCGAACTGGTAAAACTGGATCATGAACTGAATCATCCCATTGGTACCGTAAACCTTTTTCTCTACTAAGGGGTGTTGCAGGTGTTGGAGGGGGGAGTGGAGTTGAAGGTGTTTTCAGTCCAGAATCAACAGTTAGTGTTTGATCATGAATCACAATGTGTGTTGTTTTAAACTGATTTTGTGCATTCACATTTTCTGCAAATTGTTCAGCTGACAGAATGCCTTGAGATGTGGCTACATATACATGTTCTGCTGAGATTGAGTTGTCATCCGCGTGGTCTCGTGTCCCGTCTTCGTCGTGTTGTTGTTCTTCCGTGAATGCGGAATCGTCACCGTTCGGCAGTTCCTCGGTGATGTCGACCTCAGACATATCGGAAAGCCATGGGCGCCTTATTTGGCAATCATACCATTTGAACGTGAATTTACATCATCGAGGATGTTCATTAAACAATATTCATTAAAATGTATACATTGCACACCAAAATTAACGTCACATTCCCTTGTTTATCAACAAATGTCGGAATTTTCCGTTGATTAACGAGTCATGGCGGAAATGGTCTGAGGGGATAGTAGTCTCTAAATTCTGCGCAATATATTATAATGAAATAAATTGAATATATAATATTCTTTTACACATAAAAAATGTTATCAAATTTAATTATGAAATTCTTTAATCCAGCAATTAGCGGTTGTAAAAAAAGAATAATTCGAATGATAGAGATTATTTGGAAATGAAGCAAAAATGGCTTGAGAAATGGAAGACACGTTTTCTAAGTTAAAATCTGGTGTTTCTGTATGTGTACTCTGTTCAATAGACACTTCCCTTCCTCCATAAACATCACAATATTTTTACAGAATACGCTTCTACTTCCTGCGAAATAACCCATCAAATTCTTTTGGGTTTTCATGCTTGTGTTTTAGGTCAAAGCAATATTTATTTTGCCCAGTTTATATAATTTCATTACAACAGACTGCATCAACTACAAATCCATAACTAAAGACTTAAGTTGAGATAGAATTAAATATTGTAATTCCTATAAATTTTGTATGCATAACAGCATGTTGACAATTGAACATTTTCTCTTGTCCATCCATACATTAAATACTTGATTATAGTGCTACATGTATTTTGTAGACTACTTTCACTTTTAATTTTGCAGCCAACTTTCACTTTTATTTATGCTTGTAATAAATCTAATAATTTCATAGATGCCTGAAGGCAATATACAATGCCAAAAAATAAAGGGAACAAGCACTTAAGTCTCACCATTTCTGATTTAGAATCATAAAAAAAGTAACTTTTGAAGTAGTGTGAGTCTGATAGGTGATTGAATGAGACAGAATAATAAATCAGTCCAAAGTCAGCACTTTTTTCAGTTTTATTCTTTGCAATATGTTCATCCACTTCATCATGTTCATTTGAACTTCAGTGGAAAGTTGTCTCATTGACAATCATACCAGATCTCCTTATTTTTATATCTTTCCTTTTTTTTTTAGGCCGTTGGGGCAAATCCACCAGAGTATGATGATTGTGAAGAAAATGATGATGATATTGATTTCCTAAATGATGAAACATTTGGTGGGGAAATTGAAGGTACAGGGTCAACAAAAATCTGTGTATGGACATGCATTATTGGACATTTTAAAAATTTCGGGTAGCAACAAATCATTTAGTCCTAAAATGTATCATAAAACAGTTGTAAATGGATTTTGTATGGGCAGGGATGCAAAAGCCCAAAATATCAGTTGTTATTAATAACTGGGGAGCAATAATAATTTTAATGTAACAAGAAGAAGTGATGGTAAATTTTGTGTAGAAAATAATGTTTAAAACACAATTTGATTGATATGAGCATGTGGTCAAGTGTAATGAAGTGGGATTGAATCTGATTGATGTAACCGTAAGAAGCATCAATTGATTAATGCACAATTTGATTCCAGTCTGAAATGTATTAAAAATTGAAGGAAATTGCAAAAAGCTTAAAAAGAAATATATTTGCAATTCTAACAAAAGTACTAAAATTTCCTAAATATAACATGTAACTTACGATGTTGATAGAAGTGATTAATTGATTATTGCAGCGGGTGAATTTGATTGGGAGGAAGAACATGAGAAATATGCTGAAGTGTTGGAACATGACCATACCAAACATGGACAAGGGATGCGAGATTCTGGATATGGTACAACAGACAAAAGCTATAGATCTCAGGAGGTAAGTCTTCAGAATCTGAAAAAAATTAATAGTGCCCAGGGGTTCAAATTAGCGGTAGTTTCAAGGTCCGTGACCTTCCATTTAAGGGTTCGGACCTTCCCACCGGTAGTTAGAAACACCCGACGGACTTTTATATTTGATGTGTAGTCACGTGACCGGTCCTCGTACAAGATACTGGTAAACTGGAGAATATGATATAAGAACATAATTAGTAAACGGTATGAGTCTGTTTGGTTTTGGAGTGACCTCTTCCAAAAGAATCCTTGGAAACCCCCCCCCCCCCCCCTTTTTTTTATGATCAATGCATTTGAATGGGGACATATTTGGAACCCCCCTTTCTACTGGGTTGGAACCCCCTTTTAAAAATGGCTGGATGCGCCCCTGGCAGGTGTGATTAATGAAACGGCTTAACACAGCCCAAAGACATGATCTAACTAAAGACCAAATATACGACAGGGAAAAACGAGAACGTAGATTTTTCTCACACACAGTGAACGGGAAAGTGCCTTGGTTCATTGGACAAAAATTTAAAACTTTACCCCATAAAAAATCATGATGAAAAATTTCCTCCCAGCATCTATTATATCTTGCCAAAATATGTGGTTAAAAGAAACTGACCCCAAGTTTGAAAACGAAACTGTTATCTGACACAAAGTTAGGCAAGTGTGTTTCCAAAGCAGCAATTGAAACCAAAACAATTTCAAAAGGTACAAAGTGTTATTTAACACAGGGTATAGTGTTTTAAAAAGGGGCAGCCTTTTTCTGACTGAATTTATTAAAGAAATTCAGAAAAAAATTAAGTTAATGTAGTAAGAGTGCTTCGGAATGGTAAGCATTTTCGATTTTTAATAAATTGAATTTTCAATAAAAATTGGACCTTCAAAGAATAAAGGAAGACCTTTTAGTATTTTGAGTCAAAGGTCCTGGACCTTCCATTGCCTAAAGTAAATGTGAACCCCTGTTGCCTCCGGTTGCAGACCATGCATCTTCCCTAGCCATTTCTTTCCTTCCAATTTATTTTAAATGAAGATTAAGTTATTTATATTGCTTCAAGGTGATGCATGGCACTATGTATTTTCTAGCCAATAAATTCAATCAGATTGTTTGAAGCTGATCCATCATCCAAGATGGCCGCCAGCGGGGGACTTCATTTAACATAAGACCCTATGGACAATACATACAAATGTCTTCTTTAAGGGAACCACGGAATGGAATGAAACCAAACATGGCATGAATGTTCCTTATTAGGTGCTGACCAAGTGTTGTTACTTTGAAGCCGATCCATCATCCAAGATGGCCGCCAGTGGGGGACTTTGTTTAACATAGGACCCTATGGACAATACATACAAATGTCTTCTTTTAGAGAACCACTAAATGGAATGAAACCAAACATGGCATGAATGTTCCTTATGAGGTGCCTACCAAGTGTGGTTACTTTGAAGCTGATCCATCTTCCAAGATGGCCACCAGAGAGGGACTTAGTTTAACATAGGACCCAATGGGAAATAAATACAAATGTCTTCTTTTAGAGAACCACTGAAAGGAATGAAATAAAACATGGCATGAATTTTCCTTATGAGGTGCTGACTAAGTGTTGTAACTTTGTAGCCGATCCAGGGTTTGACACTTATGGTAGTCCGCTAGCCCGAGGCTAGTAAAAAGTAGGGAGGGCTAGTAAAGTTTTCATCACAGTAGTCCGACGGGCTAGTCAAAATTTTGTTTTAAACTAGAAATTTCACAAAATTTTAATTGTCAACAAATCCCAGATTTTTTGCTGACCTTTGCTGTCTTTATTGTACAGTTTATTCACGTATATTTTGATTGTCAGACATTTTTAACATGAAAGGTACTTTTTGGGGAGGGGAAAGAAACGGAAACAATGATGGTACTTAATACATTGAATTAACCAAGTGGGTTACAAACGCCGTGATGATTCTAAACTGAAAACCTCAATCTCAAAAGTGCTTTCATAATATCAAAATAATAACATGAATACGAAATTTACATACATTACTACCGATACCATCACTGTTTGGGAAAAATGTACAACTTATTGGGAGGAATTTTAAGCCAGTTTTTTAGTAATTGGGAATTTTCTCTAGGGGAAAAAGCTGTATTTCAAATGTAATTTGAGGCAAACAATATCACTGAATTATTGTCATAAAAACAAAATTATAGGTCTCTGCAAGGATTTGTATACTATACAATTCCTTGGTCTCTGGTAAAAATATACAGATTTTTAGGAATAAAATCTTGTCCTGCAAAAAAAAAAATAAACTGAAACAACAAGGGAAAAGAAGGAGTCCATGAAGAATTATGACAAAAAATAGCAAGGGCAAAGCTTTCCTCTTTTGTGGGTGTATTTTTAAATCCCTAACTTATCCATCTTCATTAAAGACACTAGTAATAATGATAAGTAAAATGAGGATAATGATGAAGTAATGATCTAAAGGGGTCTTCAAAATAAGTCTAACACATTCTCAATATAGATGATTAAAATATGATTTTTTTTTTTTTTTTTTTGGTATTTTTTATAAGCAAACCAGTGAAATTTCATGAAACAAAACATGTTCAAAACCCTCTGGAAATGCTCCAGAACACAGGATTTAGCTTCATTTGTATCAAAATTTTCTGGGGGGGCATGCCCCCAGGCCCTCCTAGATAGGGTTGTGCCGGTGGCACGACCGTCCAAGTGCCTTCGGCACTTGGAGGGCTAGTGAATTGCCAAGAGGACTAGTAGAATAATAATTTCACTAACCCTGCTGGCTAGTACATACATTTAGTGAATGTCAAACCCTGCGTTCCATCATCCAAGTTGGCCGCCAGCAAGGGGACTTCGTTTAACATAGGACCCTATGGACAATACATACAAATGTCTTCTTTTAGAGAACCACTGAATGGAATGAAACCAAACATGGCATGAATGTTTCTTATGAGGTGCTGACCAAGTGTTGTTACTTTGTAGCAAATCCATCATCCAAGATGGCCGCCAGAGAGGGACTTAGTTGAACATAAGACCCTATGGGAAATACATACAAATGTCTTCTTTTAGAGAACCACTAAATGGAATGAAATAAAACATGGCATGGATGTTCCTTATGAGGTGCTGATGAAGACATTAATACATGTATCTTTATAGATTGAGATCTACAGTAAACTGCAAAAATATCAAGAAAAGAAGATCTACACATAAGTCAACATGAGCAAAATTGTCAATTGACATCTTGTTGGAGTTATTGTCCTTATAAAGTCATCTTCTACAATTTCAATGAATTTATTGGTAATGTCTGTAAACTTTACAAAAGTCTTCTGCTTTTGATTAAATTACGGGGCCAATATTTAATCAAATTTGGCCTCAATCATTATTAGGGTATCTGTTATGATTTTGATCTATTTTTACATGATTTTTAAAACCAAAGTAGAATCAGGTAAGCAACACAGGCTCTTGAGAGCCTCTAGTTTAAATCTTCTCTGAGAAATGTTTTGAAACTATACAGGGTTGATGATTGGGAGAAATTATACAAACCATCCGCATTTAAAATAGATCATATGGCAAGCATGGTGGCATTGATGGCACATAGTTCTAATTGAAACCCTTATAAAAGTATATAATTGTGTGTTTTCTGTTTTCTGGTAAAAGACAAAACAACATTTCTTAACCACTTTGTAGAAAGATTGTTAACCATACACCTCTAAACTTTTTTTTTCCAGATTAATGGCCCTTGGAATTGTGAAAAATTGCAGATATTTGTTCCATTTGTGACGAGAATCATTTAATGCTCCAATTATGCCTACTTATAAGATCTCATTTAAAATATAAGCAACTTGTCACTTGTATTATATTTCTTTTCAACCAAAATAATCCAAGTGAGGGATTCAGGCTCCTTGGAGCCTCAACCTGATATAACTCCTTGAAAATTTACAATTTTGTAAATTTTTGGTAATCAAAATAATTGTTTATATTTTAATATAAAATAGATGGTCCTTCTAGCTATTTGTTGTAGAAGTAAGTGAAATAGAGTGCTATATCCTTTGGTTGTTGATGATGATAATCATTTATTGTTGCATTGTAGGAGTACATGGAACAGAGTATCAGTCAGCTGGTTGTTGACGATGAAGAAGATATAGAAGATCCAGCAATACTCAATGTCAGCAAAAGCTACAGGATTCCAAAGGTAAAATGTTTTTACTACAATTGAAATGAATATAATGTAGTATATATTTTAAAACAAATATTAAATGTCAGTCTCATAAGTGTGATGTTGCTAAAAGTTTATTTAAAATTATGATAATAATTTTTAATTTGCTCTATATATTGGGCCAAATATGGGCCTTATTGCCCCTGCTTTTAATATGATGATTTGTAATTTGTGGAAAGCATTGACATAACTTAATATTTTGAAGATGAGGATTACTTTCATCATGTTCATTTATAAATTGTTTTGCTTAAATTTACAAGATATGGCCCGAGAACACAGTTATTTTGTAGTGCATTTCTTTTAGACAATAAATTCAAATTAAAAAAATCGCACCTGCTCTATCTCAAAAAGATTTTTACAGTGTAGTGTACTACTATTGATACAAATAATATCAAAATTATAGAAACTTCTACCAGCTCTAACTCAAAATATTGACAATTCTGTGTTAAGGGGGGCTAAAATTCAGTTTGACAGCTTCCGACATTCTAATTTTTGACCTTTTTTAACTGGACCAAATCACTACTTAACATAAAGATTCAGCACCCAAATTTTTTTAACATGTAATTTCATCCCCTTACTTAATATTTCATGCATAAAATATCAAGAAATAAATTGGGAAAGTGTATCAAAAAAAAATGCAAGTTATACACTGTTCACACTAGGGACTATATTCGTAGACAACGAAAACCAAAGGACGATAACTGTGTCCTTGGACCATATTTGAAACATTCTTATTTTCAGAGAGAGACGAATCTTGAGGAGTTGTTTGGACCAGAATCTCCTCCTGCTTTTCTGGATGCTGAACATCTGGTAAGGTTTACTAAGTCAAAGTCAGAAGCCATTTGTATGTTTGTCTCCATACATATCAGAAAAAGGAATGTTGTACTTTGGTCCAAGAAATATTTCTTCTTGCCAAGGTTCACGTATTTATTTATTGATTGTTGTTAGCTTAACACCTAGTGGCAAATATTTCATGCATAATCAGGACAACAATTATCATTTCTTTTACTGTTTTGAAGGGTGGGAATTTCAGTTGCCACTATGAATGAGGGTATGTTGGATAAGAGTTGAAATTTTGCCTTGCCACCTCTCAAAGGTTGTTGCTAGGATCCTTGAATGGGTTGAAAGCATGGTCCTCACCCTACAAAAGGCATCATATTTAACATCCCCATTCCTACCAGTCATGGATTTGTATTAATACATTTCTAACAGACAAAAAAGAATTTCCTCTTTATGTCATTTTGGACTTTTAAATCTTGGGTGAATAATCATTATGTGTGAAGGACATTTTAGTTATGACTTAGTTAGCTGATATATATTTTTATTGCAAAACATGCATTATTTAGTTAAAGTTTATTTTTAGGCTGAATAAAACAGACATCCTTTTTATGAATAGAAATACTTTGAAAATACAATGTATTAAAGCTTCTTAATTTATATGTGTTGAACATTGTAGTCCATTTTCTTGTAATTTGTGAAGGATATATTTTATAGAGTTATGATAGAAGTTGTATAGATACCCATTTTGTTTTAATGATGATATGTTAATAAAGAGTACATTTTATGTGAAACAAATTCATTTTAAATAAATTTCAGACCTATCACAGCTTTATTGTCAACAAAAATTTGCTGATATTTTTATTAGTGAACTATGTTTATCATGTTTATAAACACCTATATATGAAAATAACAAGATTTGTAAATATACTTTTAGGTTTCACCTTCGAGTAGGAACATCTGGGGATCACCAACAAAAGAATCACACATGCAGAAACCAGTCAACAATCTCCAAAGTCTGTTTGATTTTGCCAAAGCTTCATCGGCAACTGTTCACAGACAGGTAAAAGGAATATCTGTCAATTATGAAGAATAATTATATTCATCATGTTGTTACAAAACAAAGGGAAGCTAAAGTCTAAGTAGTTGTGAATAGTTTTATGCTTGTCTTTAATTTCTTTAGTTTTACTGGTCCTGTATGTCCTACAAATAATTTTATAAAAGAAAAGATATATATACTTAATAACATGTATAATCATTGATTTTTAAGACAAAGAATTTTGCATTCAACTGCATTTCATTCATTTAAAGACATTTTGTTTTAGAATTTAAGATTATACTCAGCTTTGTAGCAATTTCTAATTCACATTAAGTCTCTTCTATTCTTTGGTCAAGATTTGATAAACTTTAGAAATGTCACTATTATAATTTACCTACAGCATCCATCTATGTCAACACCAGACCAGCAGAGGAGGTCTCCACAGATGATCCAGAAGGGACATACCCTCGAGGAATTAGAGAACCAGATGTTACAGCGACCTCCTACGATAACTCGTCCTGTGACGGCAGAGGAACTGGAGAGGGCCATGAGGGGTGAGGTACCACCTCCGCCAATGCATCAGGCTCCAAGACCTAATGTACCTCCTCAGTATAGGGGTGTACCACAAATGCCTATGCAGGTAAACTCATTTGTTACACACATTGATCCCATTTGTATGGAAGTTTATAAAAATAATGCATTGTTCAGTAGAAAGCTTCACATTTTATTATCTTTTCTCACAATTTCCGAACTAAATTTCAACTGTTAACTGTAAAATAAAAAGTAGTTTTAATGTTTTAATCATGTGAAATTGTCACTTGATGAAAAAATCACAATAATAAAAACTAACAGTTTACTTTTCTTGGTAATTTTCTACTACATGATGACACTGGACATTAACCAAGCAACAATCAATCAATCAGTCAATCAATCAATCAATCTTTTATATGTACAGGAATCAAATTATTTTAGGTTGTTGAATTTTTTTAGTATTAGATACATACATTTAAATTTTAAAATAACAGCATGTTAATTATTTTGCAATTTGTTGTCAGATATCTGTATTTAGGGCTCCTTTGAGTAAGATTAAAAAATGAGTTCATATTGAGGGATTTCTCAGTCTTGTGAAATATCTACGATCCAATTATTTTACTTTGAAACTACAGAATGTATTTGTCCGTAGCTTATAGCACTTCTTCATTATGTACTCACAATAAATAGAAATAATAAGGACAAGAAGAGTATATGACAATGGGACATCAACCCAACAATAATTTCAGGTGTCTATACAATATGTCAAGATCTAAATCATCCAGTCTATAAAAGTTGTGAATAAAGGAGTAGATATGATAAGAGCCATTATTTGGCACCTGGAATTGCTAAAATTGTTCAAGCCTTTCAAAATAATGTTAATTTTAATTGATAAATGAAAGTTTGATATAATCAGGACACTTTATTGCCGAAAGGTCATTTGTTATGTCACTAGGATGTCGTAAACATTTGAAAATCACATATTGGACCTAAGATGGCCATTTTGCACATAATTTTTGGTCAAAACAGATATGAGCCAAGGCCTTACCCAAAAAGATATTTTACACCAATTAACATCTTTATAAAGTACACCTTACAGTAAAATATCTTTTTTGTTATAGCCTCCAATCACATCTAGATATTAATGACAAGATCCCAAAGTAAAAGCTATGTTGGCAGTTAATACAGTTTTGCACTAAATGCAAGAAGTTTTGAGCCCAAATGGAAATATTTAAGACATAATTCAAAGATATAAATACTGATATCTGACAGTCTAACATTGTATGAACATCTGGAGAATGTTGTTTGGCAGATGTATAATATATTTTGATTATTGAATTCAGGGGACCAAAGAAGTGCCTTTATCATATCTTTTTCTTTAACAGACATAATCAAAGATCTGCCATTTAAATTTAAAGCATTAAGATGAAGAAAACATAAAGATATGACAAACAACAATTATTGAAAAGTTCCATGCACGTAAATCTATATGTTGGTTTTCAGATAAAAAGGGATTTATTTTGGGATCAAAAGAAAATTTTACCATAGACAAAGATACTACAGTTTGCAACTTAGTTTCTGAGGATATTATGTTTTTAACCTGTCCTTTCAATCTGCCCATCAGCCCCTCATTACCTTTTTTAGTCGTGAGGATAGCACCTTCATTTTTAGTTGGATCCTTATCAAAGTTTGGATGGTTTATCCTCTTCAAAAAACCTTGCAAAAGTTTGATAATCATACAAATCTGAAAATCCTTTATATGGCATTTATTATTTAGTAACATTAAGTACACAAAAATGTAATAAAGTGGGACTTTTCTAATAGCTAAAATAATCAAATATATTAAAAAGCCAAAAAACTGATAATCTTTTATGAAAGTTCATATATTTGGTGAAAATGCAGCCTCTTTTTGTTTTCGAGTTATTGTATTTTTGTCAATGTTAAGAGGCTAGGATGAAAATATAAATTAATTGAAACAAGCAAGAAAATAAATTTGTTTTTCATGTTTTTAAGGGTTGTTCTTTTATATATTTTCAAAAAAAAAGAAAGAAGCAAAACACTTACTGTTAACGGAAATAAAGCCAATAATTGATTGAAGAGGCTCACCAAGGAGATTGAAAATTTATCTCCCCTGATTTAGTGATATAGCAGATATTATCAAATCTTAAAGAAGCCTAATTATATTTACAGAAGTATTGAGCAAAATTAATCTAAAGATTATCATATAACAACTAATACCAAAGACACATTTTGCAACCAATGAAAGATATAAGATTGTAAATTTTTCTTAAAATTTGTACCAATTAAAGTCTGTAATGTGCATTTGGATAAATTATTTTGTTTTACTTAAATAGATTTAGCAAAGGAATAGCGCTTTTATTATTATATTTAGAAAATATATGTCTTGGTGAAGAACCAGACTTATTTAAAAGAAATAATTACTGAGGTGTAAGTCAAATTGGGTCAAATACCATGCATTCAAAAGTATTCTCTGGTTGTTGCTGGTACATAAACATGATAAAATAAAATAATTCAGAAAATATATGATATCCATGCTGTTACCGTTAGATAAGTTTAAGATGGAGGCCAAGATGACAGCTGAACTCTCAATTACCACATGTAACTTTTGTATGATGTAAAATAATTTTTTAATCACGAAAAAGTAGGTTTTTGAGGCTGATTTTATATTTCGTAATATAAAAATCTTTGAAATTTGATTTTATTTTTGGATGAACTTGTATACAAGTTTTTTTTTAGCCCTTTGCAGTCTTTAAGTAAACTGACAAAAAATAATGAATTCCTTTCTATGCATTAGTTTTTGGTAGTAAAAAGAAAACTTCTTTATAAAATTAGTTGGTATTAGATAAGCAGTGGCCTGTTCAATAAAGGTAGTGGTGATAAATGTATCATTTTATAGCATGTTTTGGCATTAAGATTGTATAAAATGCAATCAAAACCTTTTTGTACTGTATATCTTCCAAGGTTTATCACTGCCTTTGATACATTGCAGTTCAAACAAAATAGTACAATGAGGTGATCATTCCAGGGTTCTTGTTAAGACGCGTATACGCGTCCTGGACGCATGAAAATCAAGCTGGACGCGTCATTTTTGAAACCTGTGAGTCCCCAAGACGCGTCCTCGTTATATCCCCCCCGAGTCCCAAACACATCGTTTTGCCAAGAAGATTCATGATGGTCGCATTGTTTTAACAGGAAACTAAACTGGAAGTCGATGTTGAAAAATTTATGTAATGCGTAGATGAATATTTTTGTTGACTGATAACTATTTTTTAAAATTAAACGTCTTTCATCCTAAAATATATAATTCTGTTCAAACTGATTAATAAATATGTAATAGTTACCGATTTTTTTAAAAATTTAGGAGTATTTGAAAAGATTTAATATTTCCACGTGTTGAACATCACATATTTATCAATTGAACCAAAGAAAGTAAAAAATTTTGAGAATTTGAAATGAAATGATATAATATTTCATAACTGTTGCTACTATGCATAAAATAGATCATAGAACAAAGTTGATTTGAAATTTTACGGATAAGAATAATTCTACTGGTCTTCGAATGATTTAACATTTTTCTCGTATTGTGCATGTTGAACATCGTGATCGTAAACAAGGTGAAAAATGTTTTGAATGACGATTAAAAAATGATTAAAGAATAATTACTATTAAGCCAAGCTCAATATTTTGAACAGCGTTCACTTTAGATTTGCTTATTTTTATAAGACCGCAAATTTTGGTACCAACAGTTAAGGAATTAGGCGCCAAAAATAAGCATTTTTGTAACTTCCAGACATAACTTGTGTGTTAGTGTTTGGATCTCTCTGACATTGTACCACAAGGTTCCATATCACAAAGGGAATGCTGGGATTGATTTTGGGGGTAATTTCCTCAAAATTTTAGGAATGAGTGGTCAAAAAAGGGGCAAAAACAAGCATTTTTCTAGTTTCATGACAATTACTTGTGTGTAAGTGTATGGATCTTTATGAAATTGTACTACAAGGTTCCATATCACAAAGGGAAAGCTGGAATTGAGTTTTGGGGTAATTGCCCAAAACGTTAGGAATAAGGGGCCAAAAAGGGGCCAAAAATAAGCATTATTCTAGTTTCCAGACAATAACTTGTGTTCAAGTGTATGGATCTCTCTGAAATTGTACTGCAAGGTACCATACCACAAAGGGAAGGCTGGGATTAATTTTGGGGGTAATTGCCTCAAAATTTTAGGAATTAGGGGGCAAAAAAGGGGCAAAAAACAAGCATTTTTCTAGTTTCAGGCCAATAACTTGTATATAAGTGTATGGATCTTTATGAAATTGTACTACAAGGTTCCATATCACAAAGGGAAAGCTTGGTTTGAGTTTGGGGGTAATTGCCCTAAATGTTTAGGAATTTGGGGTCAAAAAGGGGCCAAAAAACATGCTTTTTTCTAGTTTCCAGACAATAACTTGTGTTCAAGTGTATGGATCTCTCTGAAATTGTACTGCAAGGTACCATACCACAAAGGGAAGGCATGGATTGAGTTTGAGGGTGATGAATCATAAGGGGGTTCAAAAAATTTGGGGGGGGGGGATTTTTTTTTTCATTTTTTTCTTTAAAATTTTCCATTTTAAATTGTTTTTTTCTGATTTATATATAATCCAATGATAAAAATCAATTCTCTTATCGAAGTCGACAAAAAACATGCCTTTAAAATATGAAATACAAAAAATGTTATATATAAAGGCAAATAATAATGATATGGTTTGAATAGGTAAATTAAAATTTTTTAAGTTCTTAGAGCACATTCATTCTGTGTCAGAAACCTTAGCTGTGTCAAATATTTAATCACAATCCAAATTCAGTGCTGTATCAAGCTTGAATGTTGTGTCCATACTTGCCCCAACTGTTCAGGGTTCGACCTCTGCGGTCGTATCAAGCTGCGCCCAGCGGAGCATTTTATTATATACATGAAATGCATGTATATCTTTTTATTGTGTAAAAAAATTATACCAATGTATCAAGCAATTTGTAATAAGAATATTTTTGCCTGTATTATATATTTAACCTGTAATGGCTGTTTTTGGGGGCAATTTTTCAAACATTGGTCTACTG